AAAGAGTCTGGGATGCTGAAAAGTGGATGCCAGGAATTAATCCCTATTTCAGCCCCTAACTGAGTAACTCAAGCAACTGCCATCCTCTTTTTAACTGTGTTTCTCTCTATTCTGACCCAGTTTTCTTATTCTTAATGTACCAATATCAAATTTCTGTCTATCTTAAACTTTGAGCATTCCAAGATCAAGAATCAAGCATTTAATTCATCTGATAATACAGAGCCTCCTACCCTGCTGTAGGGTCTAAGATGGGAGCTTTGGATGTGGTCCCTGCGCTCAAAGAGCTTATAAACTACAGGGGAGACAGATCTCTTACAATGAAGCAAGTGCAATGTAAGAAACATAAAAATTACTATGGGAAAATTGGCAAGTCAGGGAAACTACAGTTAGGGAGGAAATTTTAGCCAGGCCCATGTAAATGCAAGGATAGAAGCTTTGGAAGAAGAAAGTAGAGGAAGAGGGAGAACAGCAATAAGCAATGGGTTTGAAGTCAAGTGCCTTGAGGTCAAGTAGAGTGAGGGTGAGGCCTGGGGAAGAGGAAAGAATATTGCTTTTCTGATACACGCCTCATAATATATGAACAAGATAAAACCACCCTGGGCTTTGAAGCATTTGAGACTTTAGAGAGAATCTACACAAATTAGATTTTGTATTTTTTGTAATCAATTGAAGAGAAATCAATTCAACATTTACACAGTATTATTTCTTTATGCTCTTGCTTTTGCATAGTCTTTGCCCCTCAAAAAGCTGGCCCGAGGCTTAGAAACCCTACTTCTATTTTGCAAACCTGAATAGAAACAGTTTCTGTGATCTATATCTTAAAATTGTAAGTCTTAAATAGTTTAAAAGTTCACATACATGGCTCCAGCTCTTCAGGGATGTAAAAGTAAGTGATTTTCTCAGGGTTTTACATGAAGTCTTTAAACTACCTACACACAACTTGCCAGAGAGAACATGCAAAGTTGCCTTCTTAAAATTCCCTGTTGCTCTCAAAGGAAGTCCTACTTATTGTGTGTCCCTTCTTATTCTTTAAACTATCCCTTTAGTTTCCATGTGGCTTTGTGCTGAAAGGAGTCTATCACCCTAAGGAAGTACATAGAGGGAAGTCTGTTTGTTGTCCCAGAATACATTCTCCATTCCAGCAAGGAGAATTTCTTTCCTCCAGTCTGAATCTTCTTTCTCTAACCCCTTCTCCTTCAAAACTTAGATGTGTTACAAGATCTAATTAGACTTAACTGTTTAAAACCCCTTATTAACGCCAAAGCAGAAACACGCCTCCTTACAAAACTGCTTCAGTTCTTTTTTTTTTTCCAAGAAGCCAGGCCCTCTTTTTCCAGCTGAAACATTCTTTGAAAAACATTTCAGTAAAACATGAAAAGGTTTTATTTAAAAATGAACTGAGTACTATTCAGAAAGTTTAAACATTGTATCTTTGAGCAACTTCCTATTAATGACTTGCTATCTAATCTGGCATTGCTCCCACTAACCCTCCCACTGCTCTTCCTTTGGGAAGTCATCCTTAATTCTTAGTCTGGACTTGAAACCCTTGACTTGAAACCCTGGGTCTGGAGCTCCACCATAGCAATCAATTATGTACATCTCAATGGTAACCAAAGGACATTTTTGCTTCTAGAATTTTCCTGTATTCTTTGCCCTTTCTAGATGTCCTTGCACAACTGCTTCTCATTTTTGTTTTGTTTATATAAACTCCCTCAATCATCACTTTTCTTCTTTAGCTAGAATTAGATACAACATTATTCTCTGATGACAAACCCTCTCCAGTTTGATTTCAAAGTCTAGAAACAATGAAGCCTGGCTTTCCATGTGATTTCAGCTTCTCAAACTCCTGCTTCGTTGAACTTTGCTTTGAATCTCATTACATGTAAACAGTTACTTATGACATTTTTTACCCAAGATGCTTTTTTCAAGAGCTAATAGCTCATAATCAGAATAAAACATTTTGAAAAATAGACACATGTATGATTTATCTAACATATATAATAAATATGTTTTAGAATATGTACTTTTCAGGAGATATAGGCCTCATTTGAGAGTTACCATAAAATCATAATCATTTGATTCTAACTACACTTTCTACCACACCTGAAAGCTTCAAAGTCAGGAAACTAGAAAAGAAAAATCACAAGAAAGAAAAGTATATACATGTTAGAGAAAGTACTGTTGTCTACTCTGAAGGCATATGTGTGTACATATAAACATACGATCAAATGTATTAAAGAACTGGAGAGGGAAAAAAAATGAATGATACTTCTCCTGTTCAAGTTTCTCACAATCTAACAAGAGAAAAAGACACATCCCATAAAACATAATACAGGGTAGTAAATCTTATTTTTATATAAGTAAAGACTTTAGGACACAAATCAGGTATATTTAATTAAATACTACTGAGCAATTTAGAGTTAATTTTACTAGGTCTTAAAAGATTACTAGAACTTCACCAAATGAAGGTTGGAAGATGAGTAAAAATACACTAGGGCAGAAAAATACATGAAATAATCTGGTGATGGAAACTTCCAGAACAAAGACTTTCTTCTGGCAAATGGCAGATTAGAATAATAATGTAAGACTGAAATCAGATATAAAGGTCCTTGCATGCCTTGCTAAGATTTTGTTTAATTCACAAAGCAACTATACACTATGAAAAGATGTTAGGCCAGTGTTAGATCTATATTTTTAAATTATAATTCATGGTACATTCAGATGATTGATTATATGTAAAGATTAAGAGACAAGCTGAAAAATCAATTAGAAAGCAAAGTTGAAGGGCTATGGATATAGTACAGTGGTTAAGTGTCAATCCCAGTACCCCCCCAAAAAAAATTTTTTTTCAGAAAGCAAAGTTAATGCTTGCAATCATAAAGTCCTGTTCTAGGGTTAGTATCGTGGGACAGGAAGAGGAGAACTTATAGCACATATTTTAGAAGTAGAAACTACATAGTTATCAACTGGTTGGGTAATTAAAATGGAACTGCCACTAGCTACCACTGAGAAAACCCTCTTTTTGCAAAGAGAAGTACTTAGAGAACACTAAATGGAGTGTGAGACACTCAAGTGGAGATTTACAGAAGAAAGTTAGAGCTCAAGAGAGAGGCTAGACCTAGAATCACAGCTTCAAGTCTCATAGAGACAAAAAAAAAAAATAAGGTCAACACTAGGGACAAGTACATGGAATGGGGGGGGGGGGGCGGGGTGACAAGGAACATCACATCAAAGGGAAAGGAGAAAAAGAAGGCCAGAAAGAGGAAGTCTGGAAAAGGCAGGAGAAGCAAAAGAGAGGATGCAACAAAGACAAAGGGGAGAGAAGGTTGCAAAAACAACCAAGAGGCCAAAGGGGCAGAATGTCTCAAAAAGTTGTTGCCAATTGGAGCACTAGGAATTTTAGAAGAGGAAATTCAGAAAACTGAAGGAAGCAAACTAGATTTGCAGGGGCAGAAGGAGGAGGAGCAGGGGATGCTGCTCCAAATCATAGGAATGAATGACCCAGGAGAAGAGTAGGAGTTGGGGGTGGCTTGGCTTGATTTTGAGGTATTAAAATCAAGAATATACCTTAAATCTCAAGGCCACTACTTTGTCATCATGAAGCATAGAAACATTGAAGCCTGGCTTTCCATGTGATTTCACTTCTCAAACTCCTGCTTCATTGAACTTTGCTTTAAATCTCATTACATGTAAACAGTTACTTATAACATTTTTTACCCAAGATGCACAATTTATCCTTCCTGACCATGGCCTTTCCAACCAATGGAGGATGTTAGGAAAGAACATGGTTTCACAGTAAAAGTGGGTATTAGAATTCAGATGATTTAACTACAAATGAACACCTACCTTGGGATGTCACCAGGGAAAAGCATTGAATAAAGGTAATCCGCAAACCCCAGATCCTAGGGGCTGCAAAGAAGCCCATGAAAAAAGCTTGCAAGAAGATATCAGGAGGGAAGAGGAGAAAAGGAAAGGGAGACATATAAAGTATTGAAGGTGGAAGAAATGAAAAAAGGCTTTTTTTATTTCGAATGTCACTGGACCCTTGAAAGAGCATTTTCAGTAGAGAAATGAAGCAGAAGCCAACCTTGGGAAGTAAATAGTGGTAATGTCCTGATGTACCCTTCAATTCTCATATACAATAAATGATTTATCTTCTATATACAATGAACTGTTATATATTATCTGCCTAAGTGTGTGTATATATATATTCATGAACACACACATACACACATTATGTTTTATATAGCAATGGCCTTATGGCAACACTATTCAGTCATGAACCCCATCAGGATATTTTAGTCAAGGACAGACCAAATACATATCACCTGGTGACATCATGGCCAACTTAATTTGTGAAAGTACGCTGTATGATATTTACATACACCAAAAAAATGCCTTCCAGGAGAAGTGATGCACACCTATAATCCAAGCAACTGGAGAAACTGAGGCAAGAAGATCACAAATACAGGAGGCTGAGGCAGGAGGATTGCTTGAGTTCCTCATCAACTTAATGAGGCTCTAAACAACTTAGGAAACCATACCTCAAAATAAAAAATTAAAATAGCTGGGAAAGTAGCTTAGTAGTAAAGCATCCCTGGGTTTAATCCCCAGTACAAAAAAAAAAAAAGAATTTGAGTAATGATACATTTCTCAGAACATATCCTGTTGTTCAGGGTCATATGACTATAAATTCTATTTCATGTTAAGAAAATCACAAAAACATACACATACCACAATAAAATATCTTTTGAGGTTCAAAAAACTCATAAGGTATATTAATTACTATAGAATTATTGCTTTGGGGCTCCTCTTTTAAAAAATACTGGTGATTTTGGAAACACCTAGCATCCCAAGGAGGATTGTTATTGTGCCAATATAAGGAGAAGAAGGTGAACAAAGTTTGTGAAAAGGATTATATGCTAGAGTTTCTATGGTGCTTCTTGATTTGACTAAACTTCATTCTCTTTCTCTCCTTCCTGTCCCCTAATCTCCCACAGTGGAATGGAGTATGTCTAAAGACTTTTCTCCCTTGGCTGGAGAAATCATCATGGATAACCTACAGACGCTGAGATGCACAATCACAGGACTTAAGACGGTAAATGTCCTTGTGGTAGGCTTACCATTCCCTGTCACTGACATTTGTGCTGGGATGTTGGTAGCAAATGCCTATTCTGGAAGCCACAGCCAACAGCCAGTCCTCTGGCAACAACTGCCACTCATTAAGCATGATATGTCTGGTATCCATAATCTGAATTTCACAAAGGAGTGAGCAGACAGCATGAACCACTTTGTAAGTTGCCATGTTCTAAGGAGATCAGAAAAAGACTGGCCTCATGCAAGCCTTGAAAGCTGCTGCTTTCTGGATCACAGTCTAATCTTCGGGGGATCAAAGGCTCTGAGAGATCCAATTTTGACTCCCTGTCTGATGGTAAAAATAACAGCCCCATCTAGCCTCACCCCCACAGCCTTAGTTGAGATCAGTCATCAATTGGAGTCACACAATTTCCTGAAAGATATCCTTTTCCCTTGATTAAAAAGAAAGAAAGAAAAAAAAACTGTCTAAATTTCCTTTCACAAGAAAGAAACTATATATGGTGGAGCTATGTTTCTCAGTAACCTAAACCAATTTAAACTGTGAATGAAAAACTGGCACAAACCATGTTTATTTGTACAACCAGTATAAACTCAAATTATTTATGAAATTATGAACCATAAGAGCATGTGAAATACACACACCAAGAAAAAAAACAGAAAATTAGTTCAAACACAAACCCTGTATTTCCTCAAATAACTACAATATAAAATATTTTAAAAATTCTTTCTTTTAATAAAAATTGTTTTAAAGTAAAAAAAAAATCAAAACTTCCATATTTTTTGTTCCATTCAAATAATATCTTAAGAATTTTGCATGGAGGCCATAGAGGGACAATTCTGTTGTTTTCTTAAAGGTTAATCAATTAAAACTATTATTTGAAAAATATAATCCTGAAACCCAGTACTAAAAAGGTGCATTAGGTTGCATCTTTTTAAGCTTTAGCCATATTATTCTAATAGAATTCTTGGTGGTTGGGTCACCACCAAGAATCCTGACTTTTAGTCTTAATCACTTGTCTATACCAGGGGCCAGAACTGTGAATTACTGGAGCAAACAAACCCCGGAGTGGGTGGCCCCCCTAGATGCTATCAGCAGAAGACTGATTCCAAACCCATGGCTCACATGGTGGAAGAGGGCCAGAAGGAACCCTAGGGAATTTCCATTGCTTAAAAGAAAAAGTGATATGGTGATAAAAATGGAAAACTCTCCATAGACAGTTTCTCTAATATCTGTACTAATTCCTACAGGGATTAAGTTTTTCCACTTGGCCATCCAATGAGAGCAATGCAGACACTATCCTAATCATATAAAAGCCTAGAAGTAGATTTACACTTCTACATAATTCTTATAACCTTGGGGTGCATAGAAATCCATATTCAGTGTTAAAAAATAACTTCATAGTATGGTAAGGCCAATATTATTAAATCCCTAGCAAAAAGCTCCACAAAGATATATGATTTTTTAAACTTCAAACAACATTTTACAATTTTTGCAAGCAATATTTCATCAAACTCTGGCTTCTCAAATGCTTCTTTGATTCATTAGAAAAAAAGGAAAACCTCAAAGCAAAGAAGAAAACATACAAAAAATTCTAATGAACTATCAGCAAACAAAAAACAACTCCTTAATTCTTAATGCCATAAAAAAATTAAAGAATATAAGCCATTATTTTAATAATAGTTTTAAAATGGAAATCAAATCAGAGTTAATTTTTAAAATGTCTGAACAGCCAAGTTAAGGATGCTTATTGCAGCATTATTTGTTGTGGGGAAAAATGGAAACAATTCAAATGTCTACCAATAAGGGATGGTTAAATAAATGACAGTATCTTCTCACAGTGAAGCCACTGAAAGAATGAAGCAAGTTTTTAATGGACTATTCTGAAAAGATATTCATTACAGCTTGTTAATTTCTAAACTTTATCAACTAAAGGGGTGATGGCTGATGCCTCTGGGGAGTGAAAAATAAGAAGAAAGAGGAAAGAGTAGAGGTCACTGTTTTGGGTAAACCTTACAGGACTGTGTGATTTTTAAAGAGTAGTGTTTGGCCGGGTGTGGTGGTACACGCCTGTAATCCCAGTGGCTCAGGAGTCTGAGGCACAAGGATAACAAGTTCAAATCCAGCCTTAGCAACTTAGCAAGGCCCTAAGCAACTTAGACGCTGTCTCAAAATCTTAAAAAATTTAAAAAGACCTGAGGATGTGGCTCAGTGCCTAAGAGCCCCTGGGTTCAATCTCTTGCACCAAATAAAATAAAAAATAAAAGTAAAAATTTAAAAATTGGTGTATAAATTTTGAGGCTTGCCATTTTGCCAGGTTGGTGGCACATGCCTAATATCCCAAAGACTCAGAAGGCTGACACAGGAGGATTACAAGTTCAAGGCCAGCCTCAACAACTTAGCAAGACCTTATCTCAAAATAAAAAAATAAAAAGGGCTGGGAGGGTTGGAGATATAGCTCAATTGGTCAAGTGCTTACCCCACACGCACAAGGCCCTGGGTTCAGTCCCCAGCACCAGTAAAAACAGGGGTCGAGGCGGTGCTGGGGATGTGACTTACTTATTAAGCACCCTGGATTCAATCCCTAGTACCCCCAACACACAAATTAATTAATTAATTAATTAATTAAAGGGAGTGGGAATTAGGAAAAATAATTATAACATTTCAATCTTTAAAACCAAAAAATACATAGAAACAAGGCACTTTAATATGGCTACTATAATTTATAAACATAATGCTCAAGAAAAGTCAGAAAGCTATAGTATGGACAGAAGAGTTCAAAATGGATGAGCAAGCTAATGCAAAGATCTGCTTCTAGGGAAAAAAATGATTGACTGAAATGTCTAATGTATTATTCTATTTCAATTCTTTGCAGGGCCAACAATATTTTGTTCAGGTCTCGGCTTATAACATGAAAGGATGGGGACCAGCTCAGACCACGACACCGGCATGTGCCTCTCCTTCTAGTAGGTGTTGGCTACTCTCAGGCCTGGCAGCAGGCTCCAACTCTAGCTCCCTCTCTGTGGTGCCCTGGCCATCCCCTCTCACACTACTTGCAACCCACCAGACCTTCTCAGGGCAGCATCTCAGACACAGAATGAGTGATTCCTCTGCAAAAACACTCCTGGGACAGCAGCTCAGTAGGTGAAAGGAGAGGGAACTTGGAACCAGAAAGACTGACCTTATATCCCATATCATGTGTGCCTTCAAAATCAAACTCTCAAAACTGCAATTCAACATCTATAGAATAGGCCTAATCATATCCTTTCACAGGGCTGTAATGGGAATGGAGAAACGGTACCGTGGGAGCTGCTGGCCCAGAGTACATACAGTCCATTTTAGCTCTCCTCTCCCCTTCTTTGCCCCCAGTGGACACATCATATCCATTCCTTAACAGAATAGAATCTAACATTTTACTCATCTAACATTCTGAGTGAAGAAATACTTTCTTGCTAACAGGCTCTGCAACAAACACAATCTGTATCATTTGTAGTGTTGGCTGAGAAACCAGCAAAGGCCTCTTCTATTTGCTTGAAGATTAATAATTCATGCCTGGTATGTTTGGTGACTTTCTCCTAACCAGAAAATGTAGTTAACCAGAACAAACAACTCCAGACAGACGATAAGATAGATTTTTATCTGTAATGAGCCCAGAGCCCTGGATTGTGTTTTCATCTTTTTAAAAATATGTCACTAATGTGATAGTTAAAAATGGTATCGTATGCTTCTTGTGAGAGTTCAAACTACTACATCCTTTATGGAACACAATTTCCCATAAGAAAATTTTCCCTTAAGAAAATCCCTTTCCTTTTATCCCATAATCACACATCTAGGAATCTAACCTAAGGAAACAGAAATATAGATAAACAATTATATACAAAGATGGGCAGTGCCACAGTATATGGATAACAATGAGTAATGAAGAAAATAAATCCAATATTAATTTAATAGCTAAGTAAAACATGATATATACGTATTCATCATACTATAGAACCAAACATAGCCACTAAAAATGGTATTTCAAAAAAGTCATTCAATACATGAAAGAAATTTCTACTATACAAATTTTATGTAAAAATTATAATATAAAATGTGGAGATCTTTTCTGTAACATTTGATCATTAATTTACCTATACTTAGATACAGTGTCTGTGACTCTTGATAATTATCAAAATTTAACAGTGGTCATTTAGGTTATGGGATTATGATGGGCTCCTTTAGTTTATTGTTTTATATATATGTAAATTTCTCAAGTTTTATAACAATACTTTACCCAAGATGAACCATGAGCCAAGCAATACATTATAGACTTTCATATCTCTCTCTTAAGCCTCACAGCAATCCTTTATCTTCCTCCTTGTCCTATAGATAAGCATTATTATCATTATTATCTGTATCACTATCAAAATTAGAGATAACCTTCATAAGACTCATAATATGCAGAGCATCAATCTAAGTACTTTACATGGATTGATCCATTTTACTAGATAGGGAACTATTAGCACAAACACAAATACACAAATTGGGATTCAGAAATGATGTTCCTTTTCCCCAAGGTCACAACACTTGGTAAGTGTCTGAGTGAGGATTCAAACCTGAGCTGGTCAAGACCCTGCTGTGTCTCCTGTGCCATAATAACTAACCATCAGGTAGACAAGCAGACTAAGAGCCAACCAAACAGCCTGACCACCACCTATGGTGGGTTCAAATAGCTATACCAGTTCATATAGAGCCAGAGAGCTCCAAGACCCCTGCGTCCCTCTGAATTTGATGACTTAATTACTCCAGTCTTATTTGAATATCTTTATGGCTGAAGATTTATCAGAAACACAAACTGAAAATTACAAGATGATGATACTAAAGGGGACCATCTGTGACTAGGGAAGCAGGGAGTGTGTATTATTGGAGATGGAGGACAAAAAGTACATAAAAACACAAAATATATTAATTGCCATTGACCTGAAAGTGAAACGGGGAAAACTCATTCCAAATGCATACCCATGCAGATTCTAATCTATATACAGATGCATAAAGTTCAGGTTCAATTCTATAAACTACAAATGTGTGCAGATACCCTCTCTCAGAGCATATTTGAAGAGCTCACTCTGGAGTGACAAGAATAGTTGTTCAGGACTCAGGGGAGTCATTTATTTGTTGGTAATTTAAATAGAATGCTTTCTAAACTGGTATGTGTGATTAGTAGGGATAACTGGAAAAGAACTGAAATCCTAACATGTGGTAATAGTTGCTGTAGACATGCCATATCACTTGGAAAGAACAATACAAAAACACTCCCATTCTATTTATAAACAGAGTATGACATTGTGATGTAACATATATCAGTATTCAGATATTTACTAGAGGACAATGTATTCTAACATGACAGAGTAATTGGAAATTTGGTAATATGTTCCAGTAAGCTATAAAACTTTTTTTATATTTTTACAAAAGTCCTTAATGTGTTTTTATAGACCTATGTTATATGGTATGGTACATAATAAGAGAAAAGCACCCAGACAGGCTTGTCTGAGTTACGATCAGGAAAACCCTGATATGGCCAGTGAATGTAAGCTCTGCATTGTGTTGCAATTGAAGTGTCTCATTACCAGAACAGTGAACTGTATTATGTGGCACAATCTGCTCTTTTCCTACCATGCTAAGTTTATTCCTGTTAGGGTCCTGATTTCTTAATATATTTTCAATTTTCTCTCTCATCCCTAAAGTCTCCTATTTTATGTAGTCATCAGAACCTTCCAAACATCTATTAGAAAAACTCATTCTTTCCAAAAACCTTGGCATCAAGTTCAATGCTAACTTGGGCTGCAATTTAGCATTAGCAATTTTCTAATGTATCATAAAACCATTAGTCGAGTTTGCCCCTTGATGTAATAGGGCTAAGCTGGAATAGCCAGAACCATTTTATCTCCCCTTGCTTTGATGGCAGCTTTAACACTCATTAGAAGGATTAGCATGATTAGGGCCACATAGTAATTCAGCCACCCAGGAGTCTTACTCAAGGGCACCATCTTGCTCATCTGTGGTGAGCATTCAGATGTATGCATCCAACTAAGGCAACAAACTCACAATGGCCTTTGGGAATCCATGAGGGCAATGTTTATTATCACTTTGCCCAGAGATGAGAGGCACTAGTCTAAAGGCCACAAGAAATTATTTCCTTAAACTTTACCTAATTTCCCAGTAAAAAACACCCTTCCCTTTCCCAGTGTACCTGAACACCATCAAGCTTTTTAATCATAGTGCCTCACCAGCCACACTCGAATGACAACTGTGCCCAGGATAGTGCTCTACTTACATTGTTTCTTTTAACTCTCAAATAACCTAAAAAATACTTTTAAAACTCAATTTAAAGGAGAAAAATGAGACAGAGATTAAGTAATGATCTTGCCCACAAGGAACAAAGAGTCTATAAAAGTCTACAATTCCCTGTCTACAAAGCTGACCACAGCTAAACCCCAGCCCAAACCCCACCCTAGCCTCTGACCCTCCTTTCCAAAATAAAAGAAAATGTCCCTGGGATAATGAAATGAGCATGAGCACTTTCCAAAAGATCACTTGACTATGTTATACCCCATGCCACCAACATGCTCAGTAAGATAGGACTGAAATGGCTGTCTCTGCACTTCAGTCTTCTGAAAGACAGAATGAAGAGTTGTGCATGGGGGAGAATGGGAAGGAAGATGAGTTACAAAATCTCTGAGGTCCCCTTCTTCGTGGGTAATTATCTGATAGGGTAAGAAATGGTGTTTCCATAATGAATTGCCTCCATTTTACATTATTATTTACAGAATTCCTGTCACATAATAGGCATAGTGCCAGAAACCTAATATACTTCTCATGTAATCCCTGTAAAAATCCCACAAAGTATATACCATCCTCATTTTTCAAATTAGGGAGTAGTAGCTCTGTCAGTGTAAGCAACTTGCTTGCAGACAACAATATAGGAATGCAGGGAGCCAGGATTCACACTCAGGGGTATCTGACTCCAGAACCTGTGTTCTTCCTAATGGTATAGCTCTCCTGGCTTGGAGAGACGATGGCAGGAAGCTTTTACTGAATTTTGACTGGCATGACATAGGCTTAACTTTCTGAATGAGGAAGACCCCATATTTCAAAATAAACCTATGGGGAGGGAATTTGGAACTTGTTTAACTAGCGTTTAAGTCTAAGATACACAGTCTTTTCTAGAATTAACAGTCTTTTCTAGGGAAGAGTGACCAGCCTTTTTAGAAAAAGCAGTTCACCTAAGAAGTGCTTTAAGTTGTTGCTTTTAACAGGCTCAGAAAGGAAAATGGGGGGAGGGAAATGGAGGAGAGGAGGGATGAACAATGAAATGACTGACCTGCTGAAAAACAATCTAGAGTTGGAGACAGCAGAATTACAATCTTGACATTAGTCCCATATGAGTTATTACCCTTGATATCATTATAGCCAAATGGAATGAAAATAGAAGAGGGAGAAAAGTCTCAGTGGGTATTGCAATTTAAATTTGCCATGTAAGCTAATACTGTATATTCAAAGACTGAGCAGACAGGGTGGTTGGTGGCTCAGAGTATGTGCAGGGGGTGCTGTGCCAGCTAACCAAAGCAGACATTCATTAGAGCAAAATGTAGATTTCCATTTCTTGGCATCCGACATGGGCTCTTTCCTTGGAAAGAAATGTCAATTTGGCCCAAAGTGTGAAACCTACAATAAAAGCATTGGGACTGTGGATTTCATCTAGTCTACACATTCCCACCCCTTTCTTTCCTACTGTGGAAATCCAGTTGAGGACTTGGGGTGCTGAGTGGAGAAGTGGCAGGGGGAATTATTAGGATGTGGGATGCTGAAAGGGGCAGGGGGCTATGATAGGGGAGATTGGACTCCCAAATGTCATATTTTCTTTTGGTTTTCAATTGCCATTTTCCCTTGCCCTAAAACTGCCCAGCACAAGAAACCAACCACAATTACTGTTTTGCTCAGGGCTCTGAACAATGGCAGCTTCCAACTACTTGGCTAGCTGTGGGTGTGCTGGGTGCTCATCCACAGAGCCTGCGGATAGTGTGAGCAAAACCCCAGCTCCTGAAAGGCTGGGCAGGGAAGAGGCCTCCCCTGCTTTAAAATTTCACTCTGTTTGTTTCTTTTGTTCAATAGACTGGAAAGACTATGACGACAGAGAGCCCAGACACAAGGGACAGAGCGAAGTTTTGGAGAGTCTGCTGCAGCAGGTCCGAGCCCTTCATCAGCATCACAGTTGTCGGGGTAAGGATAAAAATCTGAGCTGGGCCATCGAGTGAGGTCTCAGTGGCGCCGGTAATTTTAGCAGTTTCCTAGCTGGGTCATACCTTCTCATTCATCAGGGAGAGGGAGATATTAATATTTGTACATCTGGAATCACTTTACAGCACTATCTTGCTTTAACCCTTCAGCAGAGACTTCCCTTTTCCTCCCTCCCTTCTTTTCTTTTTCCCTCTCGCCCTCTCTGTATGAACAGTCTGAAAATAAGCACAAGAAAAACAGCAGCTGCCATAAGTTCCTTTCTCTTTGAATTGTATTCTCCCAAGACTCCTCCATGGTGCTGGGTCTTTGGGGATATTCAGCCTCAAAATTTCCACCCCCAAGGGAAATTCCCTGAGCATCCCTGAGGGAGCGCAAACAATTATAAAGATAATCATAAGAAGTCTTCAAATCTATTTAGAATATAGTTTGCAATGCAAAATTTCATAGTGTCTCCTTTTCTTCCTCATTTTGGCAGTTATAACTGAGGCTAAGTGACTTGCCCTAGGTCACCATGCCAGGAAAAGACAGAATGGATCCAACCTGAGTTTTCTGATTCCAAGTTCAATCATCCTGCCACACCTTATTTCTTTAGTTTCCCAGCCTACATCAGGACTGGATGCTGAACTTTTAATCTCTCCCTGAATATTACTGCTCCTCTGCACCACTGTGCAGGAGAAAGGCTGGCACACCTTCCCTAGATCTAAAGCAACTGCACCCAGAGAATCTCTTCAGTTGTTTAACTGAGACATGGTCAGATTTCTGATCTATGCAAGGATTCACAGAAGAGGTACTTACTTTATTTGGAGAATTAAAGTCTCCATAAAGTTTTCATTTTCCACCCTCCCATCAGCTCTTCAGCTACATTGTGCTTTCCAGATTTAGGGCACTGCTGGGCCAGGGAGGGGAGAACTCCATAGTTGAAACTAAGAGATGCTATGCTAGCTTGTTTGCACTAGGTATAGATCATACTTAGCATTAGCAAAAAGTTTTCCCAATTACCATACAGCTATGACAACAGGGCCCTTCAGAAATGTTGGCTCCAGCTAGCAATGAGGACAAGTGTTTGCGAGAAAATAATGTTTTTCTAATGACTGGTTCATTAGGAGATGTAAATATATATGGAAGCAGCTTGAGAAGGAAACCCTAGTGGGATTTCCATTCCCTGCTCTCTAGGAAGAATGTACCCAAACTGGGACCTTCAACACTTCACACTGACTGAAGTCCACACAGTTCTGTTATCCAGGGCTCATCTAACCCAGCTGGGGATTACCTGGGCTTCTTTCTCTTCTGCCTCTCCATCACTTCCCTTGTCCATTGTTTCCTGTATGGAAGCAAAAACAATAAAGCAATTAAACTGATGGTTCTTTACAATTCATAAGCACTTTATTTTTGGTCCTTATCAGAGAGGGAAAGCTAAAACTACTTGTAAGGATGATGGGGCCAGGCTTGGTGGCACATGCCTATAATCCCAGCAACTCCCAAAGCTGAGGCAGGAGGGTCACATGTTCGAGGCCAGCCTCAGCAATTTATGAAGACTCTGTCTCAAAACAAAAAATTAAAAGGGCTGGGGATGTAGCTTAGCGGTAAAGCACTCCTAGATTCAATTCCCAGTAATAAAAAATAAAAGAATGATGGGGTTTCCCCCTAAGATTCCTTTTGGATTACTATAATAATCAGGAAATGACTGCCTGGCCAGCCTATTTCTATAGTTGCCATTCAACTTCTGTCATGTATATTCTAGTTACTGCAGGAACATAAATATATACATGATATTAGGAAATATTTAAGTTAGGCCTAAGGTAGAGTTTCCTAAAAAAGAGAATTGTTTTTTATATTGAAATGCACTCTGAACATATAAAGATACTCAGATTGTACCCAGAGAACAGCTGTTCTATAAGATACTCAGTTAGAAAAGGTTCTCTTTGTTAGGTAGTTTGAGAAATGCTACATTTTTCATCCCTCTCTCAGAAATGTAAAATAAAAATTAGAATATTAAAGACACTAATAAAGAGGCATAATAAATTTGGTTAAACAAGCATTTTCCAAACTTCTTCAGCAATGTAAAGCATTTTCATAACATTACTACTCCAAGGCACAAATTTTATAAAATGCTGATCTGTGATACACCAAGATTAAGGGTATTAATGTGCACAAAAAAAGGTGTGATTTGAAGATGACTTAACACAATTTCATCTAGTTTAACAAATAAATGAAGACTAATATAAGTATTGTTTACAGAGAACTAGAAATTTGCTACGTAAAATATTCAATCACATTGAGCCAGGTACCACCAGTGGTACACGCCTGTAATCCCAGCAGCTTGGAAGACTGAGACAGGCGGACCACAAGTTCAAAGCCAGCCTTAGCAACAATGAGGCACTAAACAATTCCATGAGACCCTGTCCCTAAAAAAATACAAATTAGGGTTGGGAGTGTGGCTCTCTGGTTTAGTGCCCCTGAGTCCAATCCCTGGTACCCACCACCCCCACAAAACAAAACAAAAATAATTCAACCACATTGAGATACTATGTGGCTTACTGGGAATGTAAGTCTTTATAAAATTTATAATTAGAAAAAATAATTATTTTAAATCCCAGTTCTACCATTTGTTAGCTGTATGTCCTTGGGGAAATCATTTAACATCTCTGAGCCAAAGCTTCCTCATCAGAAAAATCAGGATAATAATATCCAATTTGCAGTGTTGTTATGAGGATTAAATCAGATAATAGATTAAATTCACCTAGGACAATGTAAGCCCCTTGCAAACTCTAGCTTGTCTTTCTTTCATTGTTCTTCCAGATGAAGAAGGATACTTGCTATCTTCAGTGCTTTATTGATATACCTTAAAATTAAAGTGCAGTCAGTGACTCCACTGAGATGAGGTGGTGTAGTCATTAAATACACAGTAAATTCCAAATACAGAAGTAATACAACATCTCTTCTCCTACCAGAACCCTGCAGAGACAGTGCGGAAACTCACAGAACCAGAACTGTGCAACAAATCCGCAGGCTCAGTGCTAGGATGAAAATTTGAGGGAGACGTAAAACAAACTTTATTGTTTGCACAGTTCATGCCCTTAACAGACATAGTGAATTATAAAGCAGCCCACTGTTTTCATCCTAACAGAGTGAGTTTCAATTATCATGCAATTATTCAATTAGCAAACTGACATTAACTGAAACCCTGCCTACTATGTGTCAGGTGCTAGACAAGCTAGTATGAGCAAAGGAAACTTCCTGTGCTCCAAGCACTTACTGCTTATAATCCCCAGACTATTCTCCGGTTGGGTCAATCTTCTCTCAACATAATCAAGTACATCAGGCATTGCTTCAGTCATATCTCCTTGAGCAATGCTCTCGTGAGGCCCTGCCCTGCTGCCACTTGGGCAGGTAACTAGCTGCCTCCATGCTCAGTGTACAGCAGTCCCCCTTTCACTACCATGTTACAGACTCTTCCTATCGCTCTCCAGTGTTGGATTTCTATTTTCTGTACCCCAGGTCTTCCTCTTTCCTGTGGGGAGATCTTCTTCTAGTACCTTCCTGAGAGGGTTACTTGGGAACTAATTTTTGGAGGCATCCCATGTCTAAAGAGAGATGTATTCTACTTATCATTTACTCATAGTTTGAGTTTGAACAAGTGTAGAATTCACAGTTGAAATCATTTTCCTTCAGATTTGCAAGACTTTGCTGTACGTCTTCTAGCTTTTGGAGATGACAAGTCTGATGCCATTCTGATTCCAGAAGTTCTATTCCCCACCCCCCTTTCTGGAATGTTTTCATTTTCTTTTGACTTCACTATTCTAAAATTTCACTGTGATGTGCCTTAGAATCTTTGTCTGGTTTCCTGGGCACTTGGCAATTGCAGAAGTTTACATCCTTCAATTATGTGACATTTTCTTATTTATTTAATTATTCCCTCACCTCCTTTTCCTCTCCTTTCTTCTACCAGCACTCTTTTTATTCAGATGACAGATATCCTCCATTGATCCTTTCATTTTCTTTTCTTTTGCTTTTTTTTCGTCACTTTCCATCCAATGTCCTTTTACCCTAGTTCCTTGAAGGCCAAATCAGCTTTATTTTCTAAGCCTTCCACTGGATTTTTAAGTTTCTGGTATTATTTTTTAATTCTTAATATTCCCTTTTTCCTATAATTGGATCTTTTTATAGACCCCTGTCCTTTTTACAGTAATGTGATATTTTATCTCTCAGAGTACTAATGATGGGCTGTACTTCATTTATTGTTTTCTTTTCAGGATAATCTCTCTATCCTCTAAGTTGTTCTTTTGTTTATTTCTGGTCTTTGTATTATTTCATGCTAAATGTGTTTCTCAACTGCCTGGTGATCCTTTGCCATTTGTTTGGCTAAGAGCCATTGGCATGCTCTTTATTTACAGCCTTCACTATAGGGTGAACTTGTACCACCTTTTCATGGGGAAATCCCCAATGTTGGAATCTTCAGATATATTCTCTTAGGATGGTCAGATTCCCCAGAGGGTACAAGTTCGGGTATCATTGTTCTGAGAACCCAATGGTTTCATCTGGTTTGATATTATAGCACAACTACTATCATCACCCATTTTCTTTGTACCTGATGTCTCCCTATCTCTCACTGCAGAGACCTGTTCTGTGGTTTTGTTGGATTTTGATTTGATTGGGTTGAATTTGAGTTGATTTTTTATTTGTTCATTTGTTTTGCTTTCCAGAGATAAGCCAGTTGCTTCCATTTATGGTGGGGATGGGCTATTTGTCCATCTCTGCAGTAGGGGAGAAGATTTATAAGTCTAGCTGCTTGATAATAGATTTCAGCCAAACCTTCTGATTTTAGCTCCTCATGCACTCCCACTTCCAGCATCTCATGGTGCCCATGGGGTGAGGTGGGTTACTGTTCAGCTTCTTCCACTGCTGCCTTAGACTCTGTCTTTCTCAAGTCCATTAAATACATCTGTCCATCTGCTTTTCAGCAACCAGAATTTACTTGCTTTTGTCTTATTTCCCATTTATTTGTCTTTATAGATGTTTGTCATTTATTTATTTCACTTTCTTCCTTCCTCCCTTTCTCCCACCCCCTCTTTTGTTTTAGTGAAGTTTAGGAAGAGAGTGGTGTGTGGTGAATATGTTTACTTTGCAGCATTTAACACAGAGTCCCAGCAACATCATTTTCAAGCAGCCAAATTCATGTTCAAGCCAGGGAAAAAAATGTTTTTGCTTTCTTCTTCTAGGAATAACCAATACCAGCCCAAGTTTGAAATACTTCTATCAGTCAGCTATTCCTATAGGCTCACACGTAGAGCCACATGGGGACCTCAGTCATGGGCCATCTGCCCAAGTTTCTTTGCCCAACAGCAGTTATATGGACCGTGTTCTCAGCCCCAGTGACCTGTCTGTCCAAAGTTCAGTGATTCCACCAACAATTTCAGCTTCCTTTCATTTCATAGAATAAGAGTTGAAATTAGTGATCATCTAGTCTAGCTCTATGGAGAAATGTTTGCAAAGACTGTTACAGGAAGTCCAGGAATTCTACTAATTTTATTAGCAAGAGTTTCATTTTGTTAACAGAAGAGCAAAACAGAAGCAATGAATGATTTGCTCACCATTGTAGCTACAGTGCATAGTAGTTGCTCCAAAAAATATATTTGAAAGAATGTCTCAGTTTTTCTAGATAATGGCTCCGCGCAGTCTTCAGCAATCCACTTCACTTTTCAGCCTGTTTCTTCTTCTGAATAAAGAGGATAATAGGGCTGGGGATGTGGCTCAAGTGGTAGCGCGCTCGCCTGGCATGCGTGCAGCCCGGATTCGATCCTCAGCACCACATACAAACAAAGATCTTGTGTCCGCCGAAAACTAACTAAATAAATAAATATTTTAAAAAAAGAGGATAATAGCCATACCTATCTACAACTATTTTTGTAAGCCAGCATACAAACCCAGAATGCTGTTAGTAGGAGAACAGAAGTAGGAGTGTGATGGAAGGATTTTGGGGTTTTTTCCTATTTTCCAGACTTTCTGTAATATGTTTATATTGATTTTATAATGAAAAACTTTAATGGGATAAATAGACAAATAAAGAGTGCTTTGGAAACATTGAAAAGTGTGTATGTGTTACTTAGCAATTGGTGAGGTGGGGAGGAGGGCAAAGGAGTTGATTTCATTTCTTTTTATCCTACTTGATAATAAATCACTCATTGTAAGAGAATCAACAGAATATCAGTGGTTTCCATTAGAATTATAAATATTATTCATCTCCTACATTTTTGAAGAGTTATTAATTGAGTTAACCACTGGCATCTCATAAGACTTTCTTATAAGAATGAATAATCCAAATCCCTACATGAAACTGATACGTAACACTGAGGGGACAGAGGATGGGAAAGCAGGAAGAAGGAAAGGGGAGTGTTAATCTGTCACATGGAATTTATGATTTTTTTTCTGTGTTCCAGAAAGTTCAAAATTACAAACCACAGGCCGCAAGCAGTCAGTATCGAGGAGCCTGAAACACCTTTTCCATTCCTCCAATAAGTTTGTGAAGACCTTGAAACGGTGGGTCTTATATAGTTTTCCAGGAAGTCTTAACTTCTCAGGAATGATCTGGTTTTGATTCTGAGTGGAAACTTGGTAGAAATTTCTTCTTTATTAAAGAAGTAAATTCTCCTGAAAATTTAGGCAAGATAGTAATTTCTCTGAGTTCTTGTGATAGACATAGCAGGAATATGTTTTAAATTCATATTTCATCATGTAAAAAAAATATTTTTTTCTAAGAGTGAGTTTGGTAGAGGAGACAGCTGAAGACAATTTTTTTATTTTGCTTTTTCTTTTTAGGGGACTCTACATAGCAGTTATATTTTATTATAAAGACAACATGTTAGTCACCAATGAAGATCAAATACCAATTGTTGAAATAGATGATTCTCACACCAGTTCTATTACACAAGATTTTCTGTGGTTCACAAAGGTATTCTGAGTTCTGATTTCATTTTTTTCCCACTTTGCATCAGTGTTCTGCACATAAATCTCTGAAACCTTAGTTGAGGGGGTCTCTAATGATCAAAGTTTTGGGGGTGGAAGTAAATTATCTCAAAAGTCCCTTTCAGACCTAATAGGCTCTATGTCATAAAAAACACCAAAGTAGTGTCTACACTACATTTTCAAAGCAAAGAAGCTTGCATCCTGTCAGAGTATGTCTCCACTATTCTGAGTTATGGGATCATTTGGCAAAGACTAAAATGTGGATCTGACTGTTTCATTAGCATTCAGATCTTTTTCCAATTGGACAGAGATCAAAAAGTTGTTTCGTGTGTATCTGAAAATGGACTGGAGAACAAACACCAGGGTTCAGGTTTCCTTCTCCCAGCTTTGCTTTGATGCCACAACCTAAATCACGCACTGGCCTGGACGATGATATGACCTCGTGACTTCTTTTGCAGCTGTCTTGTATGTGGGAAGACATAAGGTGGCTGAGGCAAAGCGTACCTATCTCCATGTCTTCATCCACAGTGCTGCAAACTCGGCAGAAGATGCTCACTGCAACTGCCCAGCTACAGGTGAGGGAAAAAATTTCAACCCAAACTCTCAAGGAAGTGTTTTATTTATTTTTTAAGTTGGAGCATTCAGTTATCAGTCTTACCTGGAAAGGAAAAGGGTGGGTTCCTTCCTGTTTCAGATCTCTAGACACATGAAGGCATCTTGGACAGTTTGAGCTGCATGTCTACTTATGTGGGAGCCTATGCCTTTGGCATGACCCCCTAAACAAGAACTTAGGAAACTTACATTCTAAATTTGATATTAATTGTTCAACAACTCAGTTCTTCTTAAGGGCTTCAGATTCATCACTTGCAAAACAAGAAGAGTTTGACTAGATGCTGAGCGATGCTTGCTGTTCTGGCAGCCTATGCATCAGTGAATGTGTGGAAAAGGAAACAGAAGCCAGCAGATGTTTTGAGGGGTTTCTGAATGTGACACTTTTGGTAAAGCCATAGGCATTTATGCTTACTCACAAAGGGTAAACAACCAAAAACAACTCTTAAAACAGCTCTCCCATATTATCATTCAAATTAGATCAAGTCCATAATCCTGTAATAATCTTTGTAGGTCACAAATCTTCTAGAAATGGCATTGAATTCTAAACAAGTTCTTCTGGGTTTTCCTCTCATTGTTTTCTGGTATGGCCTTAATTTGTGCCTCTTAGCACAGAAAATCATCTGCTAAATGAAGTCAGGGTCCTTAGGAGATCACAGAGTCTTTTTCAGAGATGGGTAACTACCTACAAAGCTGACAGTAAACATCAAACTTAGAAATCAGCAGACATGAATCCATGTAAGCTGTGTTTGACTAGACCATACCAGCCATGGTATTAAAATAAGATCATGAAAAAAATCTATGTCCTCCCTACAATCATGGAAACTTCATTTCTTGAGCCCCTACAATAATAATAATTCAATCCTCTGCATGAATAATAATTACTGTGTTGCTAATAAAATTAATTCTGAAAGGTTACTGCTGCCCCTCTGTGCTGTACTTCATTACATAGGTTGTTTACTGCCTTGTGTCCTCAGTGGCCTCAGAGGTTTTAACAAACAGTTCTCTTCATTTCAACCTACTCTTTGTTGCAGAATCTTCTCCTAAACTCAAGGAGAATTTCTTGGATCTGGGCCATGGAAACTGTACTGAATTCATAGTACTCCTTCCTTTCATCACTGATCCACTTGATTGGACCATACCACTCTCTCTCTCAAACTTCTCATTCTTTAGGATGAAGTACATACCCAGGGGGCTCAGACCCCTTAGTGGACCTTCCCATTAGCTCACCAGGCAGCCCAGACCTGCATGGATTATAGACTGAGCAACCTTGGAATTTCAAGCAAGGCTCTTTATCATGTGTTTATTGGAGGCTTCCTAGAACACTTTCATCTGATATCAGTAACATGAGAAGGATCAGGCTGTTACAAGCCAATGAAGTCAGATGCTGAGGGATACCATGATGGCCAGTGTGACCCCACTCAACTACTCTTATTGCAATAGTCTTAGATTTTTTGGCCTCTAAATCTATTGATCCTATCATTTTTCATAATGAATTATGCCTTGTTTAAGTTTTGATTTCTTTATTTATCATAACCATCCCCTTGAAAATATTCTAAATGTTTTCCCTCTTATTGTTTACTGGGGAAAAGCTCAAGTCTGAATGATATAGTATAATATGTCTATATTAAAGTAGTTGCATCTTGCTTGCATCTTGCAGGAAAAAACTATTAAAGTAGTTGCATCTTGCAGGAAAAAAAATATCACACACAAAAGAGGAAAATTGACTGTGTTTGTGTTAAACTCATTCATGAGTGCACTTCTCACATGGAATGTTAACTAGTGTCCCATTCCATTTTTTTTAATAAATTGCTTTCTCACACTATAAAGCAACTATTTAAAGCCTTCTCCTTTCCTCCACACCCCATTCCCCACATTCTCTGTCTCCATCTCAGGTGATGGCTTTACTGTCTAATTCATTAAGTAAATAAATGAGAATGGGAATAATTTTTTCACCAAATTTACAAACCTCCTTGCATTGATCCTACCTTCTCCTTCTTCCTTCCTATTCCAACAGCTAAAGTCTCACTCCTCCTACCAAAGGCTCATCCCTCCACATAAACTCTGGATCCTGTCTCATGCCCCCCACCCATGCTAATTTAAAAATACTCTAGTATTGCCAATGTGACCTCCCCCAAATTCTCACATGGAATGTTAACCACTTTCCCCTTCAGCTACCAAACAATCTCTCCCCTACCCTCTTATACCCAAAATTTTTAAAACATTACCTACATTATCTTTTTCCATTTACTTCCTCATTTCCCATAAACCCTCAGCCCTCTCTGTCACTTTTGCTGCCACTATGCCTGTAAAACTGCACTCTAAGGCCACCAGTAATCAGAGGCAAATAATGCTAATAAAGCCTGCATGAGCCCTTGTGAGAATGGAAGTCCTGATGTGTTTTAGGTGAGGAGGAGAAGCTGGGTTAAAATCAAGAGGCATTCTGATAAACAGTCTAAAAGAATTTTGAGGAGAAAAGGAGACCAAAAATTCCAGTATATAAGGGAGAGGGGACAGGAGAAGTAGGAGAAGTAGGGCTTCTTTTCTCATTCTAAATAAATATTCATTTTATACCTAATTTTATATTTGCAATTCTGTATTCTTTCTCTTAATGATATCCCCAAAATGATAATAGTGAAGCCCCCCCCAAAAATTTTCCATTTTCATCTCTGTCAGTTACCTCTGTTTCACTCAATCCAATGACCACTTTAAGTCCTCTTTGCAACTGATATCCCGGCAGCATTGGACACATGTGGTCCCTTTCTCCTTTTTCAAATTGGCATATTCATTGGCTTCCACAATTCCACACTCCCCTGATTTTCTTCCAGCTGACTGGTCTGTCTTTCCCATTCTCTTTTGCTAGGTCACATGCTATTTTCTGTTTAGAGTCCTCTTCTTCTACCTCTTTTTCTTGATAATTCTTACACTCCACTCCTTCAAGTCTCAGCTTAATTTTTATACTTCCTTTCTCTGATCTTCTGATTAAGTGACTCATTCCCATAGCATCTTGTATTCTCCTTTCAGAACAATGGCCATAATCCCATTCATTGTTTTATCTTTATCTGAATAGTGATCCACTTGGACCATGACTTTAAAAAATGACCATGAGTTTAAAAAAATATGTCTATCTTGATTACGTCTATATCCCCAACGCCTGGTATATGTTGGGCCTTCAGTACCTACTAGTTGAATGAGTATTATATTTGTCATCTCAACCCCAGGGACCCCAAAAATTGCAGTTAAGGGAAACTCCATCTAACCAAATGGAAAGTGATCGCAGAAATGTGTCTCATACCACAATTAATACCTGGATATTTCTCCAGCCCTGCATAGCAGTCAGAGCCTCAGTCCTCAATAAATATTCAGCACCTTACAGATCCCTCATCAAAAGCATGTTATACATTCCTTTCTCTCCTTCATGTTTCTATTTGCCCAATTAAATAATAAAGTTGCTTTCATTTTTTGCTGTGGGCTCTATTGCCCAAACTATTTTCTGGTCTCTAGGATGAAATGTCTAGAAATATGATATGTTTAAATGACATAAGAGTTTGTAAAGCACTTAGCACAGTGCCTGGCACCTAGTCTCTGTTAAATAAATGAAAGTTTAATGAAATATGAAACGCCTAGCACCTTTTTGTCAGGGGAAGGGTAAGGTGCAGGAAAAAAAAACTTTTCAGATGAAGAGGAAAAATAAACTTGTGAATTGATAAAATATTTTAAGTCACTTTACTAATCTAAAAAATTTTTTGCAATGTTCTGAGGATAGTAAAAATATATTATATATAACTTCATTGGCATCAGCCATATTAGTTCACCTCTTGCATATCTCATCTTACTCCCCTCCTCTTTCCATTCTTACTACTACTGTCTGATTACTCCAGTTTCATAAAAAGCCTTCAAAGTCACCCCTTTGTTTCCATTCTTATTCTTCAATCCATTCTCCACACTTCTTCTAGAGTAGCCAACCTAAAATGTCCTGACCACAGTATTCCCTGTCCTTTCAACAGTGGCCCGGTATTTTATCATGGCCTATGGAGCCTTAATCACAATCTTTCTCTTCCTCCTCTGTGTCTATTGCACACTGACTTAACCTTCATCGTGGTATATACCAATTGGTACAATTTAATCCTTGTTGTCTGTTTCTGCTATATAGTAATCTCCTCCTTTAATTAATATATAATAGTAAATAATAATAGTAGAACAACAACTTTTATTTGTTTAACAGAATAGGTGCCAGGCACTGTGCTAAGTGCTTTACAAACTCTATCTCATATAATCTTCACTATAACATGATGACAATGTACTAGTATTGATATTCACTTAACAGATGATAAAACTGAGACCAAGAAAGGCTAATTTGTGTCCAAGGTCACACAAATAGAAAGTGGTACTTATGGATTCAAATCCAGATCCATGTATCTCCAAGGAGTGTATTCTTCCCAATACTTTAACATATTATTGTGTGCTAATTTACAAAAAAAAAAAGTGGGCAAAGTTTTTAAAGAAATTATCCACACTATATCAAAAAAGAAAAAGTAGAAGTATATTCCACATCATTTGCAGCCTACTTAGAAGCAGCCTTTTATTGTTTTATTTAAAAGAAGGTAAAATATGCATTAGTTAATTAGTTAAAATTATCTAGGCAGAAAGAGAGAGACAGTATCTGTTAGCATTTGGGGAAGAAAAAATAAGACAAGAAAGCCTGCAAGTGACTAAGACCTAGCATTGTGTTCTTTCTTTCAGAAAAATAGCAAAGTTCTCTTCTTAGGAAGAGACAGAAGTATACTTTGCTCTCACAGATGTTATCTATACTACTTATCTCAAAACACAGGAATAATCTGAAAAGTGTAGATTGTATTACATTAAATTTTCATCCTCCATAGTTTTTTAAGAAATTAGTGTTAATGAGTAAGAATTAGGTGACACTTTTTGATGATATTGTGTTTTTTTCCCCTTTCTCAAGGGAGGGAAAAAAAGGGTTCCCCAAAATTTTATTGTTTTTTTCTAGGCCTTCACCTCCTGCCTCTGGACTTCCTTAAACTTCTCATGTCACCTTAAACTAAATACATATCTCTAAAAATGTGCCTGTAGTCAGGGTTTGTTGATAGTCTTTTAATATGTTCTGTTTATAATCTAAATGCATCCTGCCAACTATCAAGTGCTCTTATTCCTCTTTACCCTATAGAATCATCAAGAAACTTAACCTTGATTCCATAGTATGACAGGTATTAACATGGTCAATTTTTTTCCTTTAGGCCCAAAAGAACCCTGAATCTGCCTCTTTGAAATACAGCTTCAACTTATTTTCACAAGAATATTCTGCTTTTAATTGCACCCCACACCCAAGCTAACTAGCCAACCCAATTAATGTCAATGAAGAATTTCAGGAGGATTTTTAGTGCCTTCTTATTAATCCCATTAGAAAACCTATTCAAAGTTGACAGTGAACTAATGACATTAACCCTATACAAATGAAATGACCATCTCAATCAGTGTATATCCATCAGCCTTGGTCCACAGCAAATCATAATTTCCAATGTCTTAATGAAAATATGTATGTTAATTGAGTTGACAAACAATTGAGTTCTCACTATGTGCCAGACACTGTGCAAAGGACTCAGAGACACAATCATGAAAGATGAAACAATCATAATCTTATTAAATGAACATCAATCTTATGCAGTAAAGTCAAAGATGTGCTAAGATAGAAGTTTGCACAAGAAGCAACAGGGAAAAAGAAGATGGTAAATTCAGAGCTTTAGGAAAATCTACCCAGAGAAGGAAAGACTGAAAGACTGAAAGGGCTGTATCTTGAAAACGAGTAGGTGTAAGCCAAGGTGGACTCCAATTAGAGCAGAAAAGAAAGTCCATACACCATTTAGTAGCAAGCTTGAGAGTTTGCAAAACACTTTCTCATGCATTGTTTAACTCCTCAAACACTCTTAAGAGGTAAGGATTCCCATAAAAGATGTCTGAGAAGGAAAAAATTTTAAGTTAAGATAGTGAAACTCAGAATTAGAGAGAATAAACAGTCTAGCTATTAATGAATGGCAGCCAGCCCTCAAACTCAGTATCAGTTTAAGTCTTAATAGCAGTGGTGGCTGAGGCTGAGTCTAACTGGCTCAAGAGAACCAGTTGTTACATATTCAGGAATATTGAAAACTTGGTGTTATACCCTGGGTAGCCTAAAATCAACTGTGGCAGGAATATTTACACCACAGAGATTGGTATATGCTACAAATCAGTCATGCCCCATTTTTTTGTTTTGATTCATAGCCCATTTACAAGCATAGCACTGCATATTTAGCAAACTGCCTCTATATAAAACCACAGAACTACATAGGACTGAACTAAAAAGCTTATCCAAACTTACTCTGTCTGATTTAGAAGTAATTTATTAGAAAGAAAAAAATCTGAGAGATTAGACTATTTTTAGAAAATAATAATTCTGACAAATGAATTTTATGATATACTAATAATTATGAAATCCCTTACTCATTATGTGTCTGATCTTTTTGAAGAATAAGAAGCTTAAGACATAGTCCTTACTCCAGTGTTTTCACAGACATGAATACTAACCAGCTGGCTCATTTATTTTTAGGACAGCCTTGTCATTTTTACAATTTCCAATTCACTTTGCTTTAATGCTAGCAGGTTATCTCATCATCGTTTATATGAGTTCACAAAAGTACCAACTTGGAGCTTTGGGATTATTTTTTTTTTGAAACATATTAAAAGCAAGAAGGGATTTTATCCTAATCATCCAGTGCTCTACGTTAGAAATCTTCACACCCTGCATATTTGTAAAACTCCTGTTGATTCTAGTAGTACCCACCCAGACCCCTCCACATTTAGTGTGGCATTCTTCCTTTCCTACCTTTCTAAAAGTATTGTCTGCCTTAGTTGACCTAGTTCATAAGAAATTTTAACAAACCTTTAAATAAGTGAAACTCACCGAAACACAGATAAGTCAAACCAGGCCAATCTCTCAATTAAAGCATCTTGAAGGGAATGTGCAGTCATTTGGGGATCCGTACAATGTGCTACATTGTCAATTCACTTCTTCATTTTAAACAACCCCACCTCATACTAGCTTACTGTAGATCTCTTGAAAACTCCACAAATAGCATACTTGAAATATCAGGCATTTTTCTTTAAAACATCTGGGATTCTCTTCAAGTGCTGGTAACTGAGGTTTATGTGCTGGTGTGTCTATGTGGGTAAGAGATATTTACAGATATTGAATTTGCTTAAAAAAAACATAATATTTGTGCTCTTGCTATAATCTTTGCAGGCTCATGGTGAAGATATTTTCTTTGAGCCTCTGTTAAAAACATTTCTATGATGCCACATATTTTAGGTTTAAGTCTTAAAAACACTTCTCAGAAATCAGATAATTATTCACATCTTTTGTTGCTATTGTGTTCATTTTCTTTAAAAATATCATCTAAGCTACCAGTAATCTATTTATTTCTAGAATTTACTTGGAACACACAACTTGGGAAGAGTTTACTATGAGCCCATTAAAGACCGGCATGGAAACATACTCATAGTCACCATCAGAGAGGTGGAGATGCTTTATTCCTTTTTTAATGGCAAATGGATGCAGATCTCAAAGCTTCAAAGCCAGAGGAAGTCTCTATCAACACCAGAGGAACCAACAGCCTTAGACATTTTACTGATAACTATCCAGGTACAAATTGTTTTGTTTTTCATTGTTCTGATATATTTGAAATCCCAAATACTATTATGCAGGCTCTAGTGAAATATACCAAAAAACATCTACAGATGCAGTGGTAGAGTAGAGAGATTCCAGAGATGGGCCATTCCTCATACTCCACACACAAGAAAGATGCCAAACTTATTTTTATTTATCCCTCTCTAGATCTGGAACTTGTCAAGTAATACACAGAATGATCGCTCTGAAAATGCCCTGACCAACTGAACCAATAAGAAACACTCAGACCAATGACTGAGTAGGGTATCTATCCACAATATAACCAAGACATCAAACCAATACCAGATTGGACTGTAAAAATAATACATGTAGATTGTGTGTTTGGATACATTTATATGTATATGATACTGAACAAAAACACTTTGATATATACTCACTCTTGTTTGTTCTGTACAATACTTTCTTAGAACAGACAGGCATTATTAAATCCATTTTAGGAATAAATAACCAGGATTCAAACAGGTTAAGTGACACGAGGGTATACACAGAGGTCAATTCAGTGAAGTTAATGATGCTTCTATGTCATTCAGCTCTTTACTTGCACAAGCCCTTTCAAGGCACTGATCAGCACCCTGGCAATTTTGCATTGATAATTTTGTTATCAGAAACTATATTGGCTTCAGACCCTGCAAAACATGGAATGCATTCTTGGGCACACAACTAGAAAATGGCAGAACTGAGATTTCAACTCGGATCTTCTGATTGGAAGCTGGATTCTTTCTGCTCTGTCACAACCCATCTTTGGATAGGAGTTAGGATTTTAGTGAATGAGGGATGGAAGATGAAATAAAGCCTGAAATACTCATCTGAGTACTGAATAGGCACCAAAATTCAGAACCCAAGCACCTTGGATCCAGACTCTTGACCTGGATGGCAGCAGTGGGACACAAGCCCATATCTATTCGTAAGTGCATGCTCTGTCCCAGCGACCACTCTGCCTCAAGTGTTCTCATGTAAACATGGACATCAAACGGTTTCTCACTGTTTCTCTACCCCACCCCTTAAACCCTGTGATGAGTGTGAGTTGTATAGAACTCTCCATCTAGGTAGAAAAACTGGCAGAAACAGCTACTCTAAGCCCCATGAAACAAATGGCATATATCCACCAGACATCCCATCTGGAGTAACAGGAAAGGAAGGGCTCAGTCACACATGAACAAGCTGAATCTGCACGTTGGCCCCAATAGCCACTCATGGTCACCTTCAACAGCTAATTTACTTTCTAACTTCCTTTCATTCCCAACTGAGGGGTGTCTGGTACAATAATCTCATCCGTTCATTACTTGCACTGGCCCAAAGCAGGACAAAAGTCCAACACAGCAAGGGTAAGCTAATTGGTCAAAGCCAATGCCTCTGGATTTGATTTTATGGAATGTGGGTTCATAGGAAATTGATAGAGAGTGTACGTTCATATGTGGAGGTGGTGGGGGCAGGGAACACAGACACATTCGTGGCTCCCCTCTTCACCTTTTATAAGCAAGTGCTAAAAGAAACATTTAAAAAATCATAATAAATTGAGCTTTTACAGGGTGACTAATACACTAATCCCCTATAGGGATAAACTGGGGTCTGGGCTACCTTTGCTCCTAGAAACACAGCCCAGGCCCCAGCATGATATAATACCTGGTTTCTCCTAGACTTATTACATTAAAAATGTGTTACAGGTGCAGAAAAATTCCAATCTGGTGAAAGGTTGTTAGAGAAGGAGACCAAAAATAGAGGCAGGATCAGGTTTCCACACAGATCCAAGTGGAAAATTTACCCCCGCTGACTGGCGCATTCCTACTTGATGTCATTCCCACCCACCCCACTCTCCCTTTTCTTCCCCCCATTTTTTCTCCCTCCCCACCTTCCCATACAGGTCCTATGCTGGAGAGGAAGTGGGGAATAAAAATCCTAGGGCTGGTATCCAATCAGTTATAGATTTAAGATTTAATTATGTCAGATTTAAATTGGCTACACCAGCTTAAAATGAGGATTGAGCTAGGTCTTGATGGTGGCCCAAAGCAGTCTGGGTAATTCCCACAATGACAGGCTACAGACCACTTGATTTTCTCAGGGCAGTGGAGTGATGACCATCAGGCAACCTGATTGGAAACCTAGGTTTTCTCCTGCTACCTCACAACTTTGGAATCAGGCTGACTGGGTATGACTCCTGACCCCACCCTTTCTAGTTATGTGATCAGAGCAAGTTACTTAACTTCTCATCTCTTGTATCTCCTCCTCCTCTAAAAGCTCTATTTCGCAGGGTTCTAATGATGACTTAATGGGTTAATATGTAAAGCAGTAGAAGAGTAGCACAGTAAACATTCATGATTTTTTATTATTTCTTCACTCAGAAAAATCCAAGCAATACTATTTCTCCTCAGGACACATCCCATCCACCTCTTCTTCCCTGCTCTCCTGGGATACCTCTGGCACTAGCCCAGCCATCCCTTAGGACACTTCATTACTTCATCCACCTTTCATAATGATTAGGAAAGTCTGTATAAAAACTATATAATCAGGGCTGGGGCTGTGGCTCAGTGATAGAGCACTTGCCTGCATGTGTGAGGCACTGGGTTCGATTCTTAGCATCACATATAAACAAACAAAATAAAGGGCCATTGACAACTTAAAAAATATCTTTTAAAAACTATATGATCTACAATAGGGTTTTCAATAACAGGCCAAGACTCTAACAAAATCTCAGCCTGTAACTAATCTACTAATCCATAGGGCCCCAGGGAAGCTCCAATACCCAACTCCCTCAACATCCTGACCTCCTCAAACGCAGACCTTCACAACTGACCTCTCTCAAGTATCTATAAGAGAAAAATTGTTCTCATGCTTTCCTGCAAAAGAAAAGAGAGATATGGATCATTTAGAGTCCCTCTAAGGAACCTAATTGGCAATGATGTATATCCAATAAGAAGGCCCCTCTTGGGTGCTGGGTTATTCTCTTCAGGGGTTATTTCAGTAATTGAACACCTCATACGTGAAGTTTCTCCTGAAGATTAATCGCTCACATGTTAATTTTAACTTTGTAATACTTTGTCACATCTATATTATTTATTCTCATGAAAACTCAGTTGAGATTGAGTAATTCTATTGTCTAGTGCACAGATGAGGCCATGGATTTCAAGGAAATAGCTGGGCAAAGTCATATCAGCTGAAATGCAGCACTATGAGATACTAGGACCCACATCCCTGGTCCCCTTCCCATTCCACCACCTTGCTTTCTCTGCCTACTTTCTTTAAGATATGTCCAGGGAAATCATGGTGAGGCTGTCCTCTTTCTCCTCCCATTCCTATTTTCCTCTCCTCTTCTTGTCATCTGTAGGTACCCAATATCTTCTTACACTGCAGGTACCCAAGACCAACTACTTCTTCCGCCCTTCTCTACTGTTTTCCTGCACTTTCCTATTTTTTCTATCCCCAAGCAGCAACTAACATAAGTATCAAAACCTACAGGAATCAGAAAGATTAATGAAAATGAGCTAATTTCTTAATGACTTAAGAAACAATTGAGTTCACACAAAAACTCATTCACCGATATTCATACAATCAGTATTCATAACAGCCAAAGGGTAGAAACGATCTGAAAATCCAAGAAAGCTGATGAGTGGGTACATAAAATGTGGTGCAACCATATGGTGGAATATTATTTATCCATAAAAATGAATGAAGATCCATATTACAGAATGGATGAACCTTGAAAACATTATGCAAAGTGAAAGAAGACCAACACAAAATGCCACTTATTGTATGACGACTGCATTTAAATGTTTGCTATATCCATAATAAGCAAATTCATATTAGTGGTTCTACAAGCACAGAAGGAGAAATTGGAGAATGGTAATGAATGTGAGGCTTCTTTCTGGAATGATGAAAATGGCCTAGAATTAGACAGTGGTGGATAGTTATACAACCTTGTAAACATACTAAATACCACTGAATTGCATGCTTTAAGAGGATGGATTTTATGGTATATGACTTATAATGTTTAAAAAAGAAAGAAGTGAAAGTAATAGGGACTACATTAATCTGGAGAGTCCTTGTCCTATCTAAGGAGGCATTCCTATTCAGCCTCAGCTATTACAGTGTAAAAATGTAATCCCATTGATTAAGTATGCTCTGCTTTTTAAGAGAAGTTAGAAATCCAGAGTGTAGGGTGAAATCTCTTTAAAATTTAGGAAACAATTCAGAAAATTAAAATTCTTTGTGGTTTAAACAATCTTGGTCTTGCAAAGACTACCAGTCACGATTTTGTGACTTGTACTACCCTACACAATTCAGCTTCCACACCTCATCCAGCACAATAAAGGCCCTGCAGTTATCTTAAAAGCATCTATCTACTGTTCCCTTAAAAAGATCTCAGGATATCTGATCGATATGCCCTTCCCAGTTACTGCACCCACATAGCGTATTTCCCCCCAGAGGCCCAGCCCCAGAACCTACCACCTCTGGGCCTTTCACTTCATATTGAATAAACAGTTTTTTCCAACATCAAGGAGGTGCCAGGCACTCTTCTAGGTGCTATATGAAAAACAAATGAATAAGTCAAGGTCCTTGCTCTCAAGGAGTTCAGTCAAGGGAGGGAGACAGACTTGTAAACAAATCAAGGTAATACAAGGCAGAATTAAACCAGAGCCCGATAGCAGTACAAACAGTGTACTATGGGAGCACACACAAAGCAGCTATTAATTCTGCCTGAAAATATCAGGGAAGGTATTGCAGAAGATGTGGCATTTGGCTGAGCCATGAAGGTAAGTTAAGTTTATCAGGTGGAGAAAAGACAGCAAGAGAAGGGAGTGAGGAGGAATTAAACTAAATAGAGGAAATAGTAAAGAAATGAGGCAGAAGTTGGAAGAGTGGATCTCACCCTCCCTTGGTTCCACATGGACCTTACAGTCTTCTTATGGCCTTTATGGTGGGTTAGAAAAATTGGCTTACATATTTCTCCCATACACTGAAATGTTGATTTCCATTTAAGATATGTCCAGGGAAATCATGGTGAGGCTGTCCTCATGTCTTGTTCATCTTGGTGTCATTAATAACTTAGCATAATGCTTTACACATAGTGGGTGCTCAATAAAAGTTGGTAGGATAAGTGAATAAACTAACAAAAAAAGAGAGAGAAATTCAGAAATGTATGCAGACAGAAAAAGTAATCCATTATGGCTGAAGATAGGGGACACAAAAGGGCTGTAATGGAAGGTAGAGGCTAGAAATGCAGGTTAGAGGCTAAATCAGGTAATATATAGACCTACAGACATCCATTTTGATTTTACAGGGCCTTTCTAGTGTACTTAAGCTTATTTCTCTTCCCAAGCATTTTTCAGGTTGCAAAAGCATTCTGACCAATAAAGAACAAATGACTATGTAAAGGCAAGGGAATTCATAGTAGATGCTCAGTAATAGTCCTTTTAAAATTGAATGAAATAGTGAATTACTCCATCCCAGAATGGTGTTGGTTTTTATAAAACCACAGTATGTTCCTAACTCACAATCTATTTGTGGTCACTTCTGACTCGAATGTTTTTCTCTCATACCCTGACCCATCCTATCTTTGTACTCTTGGGTTTGAGTCTTTACAAGCACATTTTCTTATTAAGTTTTTTGGGTCATTCATAGCTTTACTACTATTTTCCAGAAAATCAAAACCACACTAAATTTGGGACCCACAAATTTGACACACACATTCTTGATTTTCTTTGTCTGGAATGTCAATAAATAAACTGAACATATTGGTTCTCTGGACCAATCCCTCCTGAGCCATCACTCAATCTATATACTATTCCAATACCATCTTCATTAACGACAAATCTTCAACCCAGATATTCAGCTTATTAAAGTAATGTGGTCATGATTCTGCTTGTTTTCAGGTTATCTTAATGACACAGATTACACTGGAGACTTCTCCTTGGTCCGTGAATCCTATTTTATAGCTGTTAGAAATTAAAGTTGTCTGTGTGATTGCTCTTCACAAACCCATGGTGACTCCTCTTTAGTGCCTTGGGATTTCCTGTGTGACTGCAAATTGAATGTTTGATTGATGGTTCTTTCTCATTTTTCCTAAAGATCAATATGACGAAGGTCTTTAATGACTAGGGTCATCCTGTGTTTTTCCCCTTTCTGTTGCAAAGCCAGGCATATTTGTCCTTTGGTAGTCTTGAGGGACTTTTCTAGTTCTCCATGACTTCTCAAAAATAATGACCCATGAGTCCACAGCCACATCTGCTTGTTCAGTAAGTGCCCCTAGGTTGCATATAATCAAATTCTTCTGATCAAAGAAGAATTGGCAATGAATGTATATCCTTCTATTTTTTATTCCCACATTAACCATTTCTCTCTCCTTAATTAGTTGTTTATTTCCTAAAACACTTACCTTGACCAAACTTCGTGTCAACTGCTTACCTAAGATCTATTTTTAAGAAACACAATTGAAAATATTAGTAAGTTCGGCCTTTTTCATCCTGTAGTAATAACAATTCTTCCTTCTTGATGAGAAGATTGCTTTTTTGTACATATTATATTGTCTTCCCAATTATGACCATTTTTATTTTGTCCTTTTCTACAATTACCATGTTGTTGTCTCTACTATAAAATTGACTTCAGTATGTTATAATCACCAATTTATTCATCTTTCTCTACCTCCTCAAGAGTAGGTATCACATCACCTTTACCTGAAACCCCAATATTTCCCATAGTGACCAATAAAACATGGGAATTCAAGCTTCATAAAGATGGGACAGACAATACAATACACAACAGAGTATGTTAGATTCTGCAAATAGTTAATCCTACAGATGAGAACTTGTTCCTTCAGAGCACAGAGGAAGCCTCATACCTTTCTCTTCCATATATACAAGTTTGTTTATTTCTTGCCTCATCTACATTTAGTAGAGAGTTGATTCCCTTTATTTTGCTCCTATTTATTCATCTTTATTAATACTTTTTGAACAAATCTTAATTGTAAACATGTATGAGGTACATAGTGATGTTTGATATATGTGGGCAATGTAGAATGATTAAATCAAGCTAATTCGAATACCTATCACCTCATTGGCTTATCTTGTGTGGGGTGTGTGTGTGTGTGTGTGTGTGTGTGTGTGTGTTGATACTTTTGAAACTTTATCTTAGTTATTTTACCCTTAGTGAAAACCAAGCTTATAGGAAACCTTCCCTTAAGATCATTACCCGATTCATCACTCCTAAATTTCTCACACCCTTCTACCCAAAGGTTTAAAAAGCCTTATCTACTAATATGGGCAGAAGGGAAAGAGAACTGTGTTTTCTAATTATTCACTATGAGTCCCTGCAGTTGTTCAGAGAGGCAAAAGTCATAACCCAAATAGTTCACTAGGTACTGATCACAAATAGAACAAGAATTGATTCAAATATCTCTCTGTACTTAGTTGGCACTTTCTACTCTATCAACAACTTCATTCAGTCTCTGCAGCCTGTAGAATATTTTGATGTGACAATACAATGTAAATCCAATGCCAATCCATTGCAAAGCAAAATTTTAAATATTGCAAAAGATGCAGAATTTTGTGAAGCTGATGAAGATAATGTGGAGACCTAATCAGCATGCAAAGCCACTGACAATTGAGACTCTAATATTAGTAGACTAGTTATGATTGACAAGCACAAAATGAACAAGAACTATATAAGAACATTTTAAGATTCCAGGAAAAATGTCTTAAGATTCCAGGAAAGAAATTCTGAAGCCCTCAAATATTTTTGCAAAAATTATCCTCTTCATGATGACTTTGTGAAAATCAAGTATGAGGAGTACCATTTCAGTTATAATTTAGTCTAAAGAATTAACTCCCCCCCAAAAAAGGGAATAAATGCTTAACTCATTCTCAGAATTAAGCTATACCTACAACTTAAATGTTAATAACATAAAATTATTATCTCATGATTACTTTAAGATACAGAATCAATCAACCTTTTATATATACTTGCTATAAAATTTTGACTCTGATTTAAATGGTTTCATTTATAATGGACTTTTCCATTTTAATTTTCCTGAAAGCATGAAGCTTCCTGTAACTGCTTTGTCAGCTTTTATACTGGCAAATGTCTGTTTCTCCCAGCTAAACAGTCAGTCCTCCAAGGATAGAAATTATGAATTCTCTTTCTTTATTATTTACCTCCACCACTAACAGCTTATTCCATCACAACCCACACACCTAGCCTTGGCAAAGAAATGTGAGGAAAACAAGCAGGCAGACTTATGTTAAAGGTGGATTACCTAACTTGGAGGAGAACTCTCCTGAAGGTGAGACTAGCTGCAACACCAACACTCCCCCTATATTCACGGTTGTTATGGTTCCTCACCTAATCATTCTCAGTGCCTATCATTCATTACAGGCCCACCTTAAAGAGAATAAGGTTTGGAGAGTGTCTATCAAAGTGATTTCTTATTTTGTCTTATTTCCCTCTACAGGATATTCTCTCCTATCACAAAAGGAGTCATCAGCGTCTCTCTCCTGGATTATATCTAGGTTACCTAAAACTATGTAGCTCTGTGGATCAGATCAAAGTTCTTGTAACTCAAAAGTTACCCAACATCCTCTGCCATGTGAAGATCCGTGAAAACAATAACATTTCCAAGTAAGTGGTCAGAGTCAGAATTTTCCTTGTGATGAAACAATGGCTCAAGTGACCAATTTGATGTGCCCAAAGGAAAATGAAACATTACTTGCCAGCACAGTTTCTATGGTGAGATGTCCCACAGCACACTGGAGCAATGCCACAGCTGAGATTTAACACTAGGATAAGGAGGGCTTCCATTGTGGGTTGGTGGAATGAGTGAGCCTATTAAAAGGGGGTACTGTCTTTCCATGATTCCCTCTGCATTATTAATGGTACAAGCACTGATGCTCAACTGATTAATGAACATATGACCTTTTCTTCCCAAATTGCTATTTATAATACCTTTTCTTCACAATCTAAAAGTCATGTTTGTTTTGTTCATTGTTTTTAAAATTCTCTATGGGAATGGAATCTGATAAAGCTACTGAATCTTAAAGGATCCCCCAATCTCACCTCAAACCTTCATTCTCCTTACTCCTAACCCCCTGGCCTGAGAATCTTATATGTTCCCTATGCCTCTTTTGATTCTCTAGGGAAGAAAAGAAGTAACAAGGTCTGAGCCTCTGTTGGAGATTTGCTGTATGGTTTGGCATTTGGTGAATTACCCTGTTAGCTTTGGGAAAATCTTGGTAATCTGGCTCAACTTTACAACTAATCCTAATAGCAGGCCTCTGAAACTCTACTATAATGTACTGAATTGTGTTCAACATTTAAAAAATGAAAAAGAAGAAATATATAATGAGATATTATATATTTGCTTCAAAAAGTATAAACTAGATCCTCAAATTCTATTTACACCTATGGATTTGCTTACAACCAAAGTAGACTCTAATTTGGTCATTTAAAATATGGCCCTCAAAATTTAAAGACTTCCTTTATTAACTATTATATCTCTCAGGGTTCAATACATAACTATTATTTGATGATAGTGGAATAAATGATGATGATGATGATAATCTCTTAAAGAACTCACTGACCACCATATTCTCTCCTTTCACTGATCAACTACACCTGGACTTTAAGTCTGCCCTCTGGTGGTCATTTCAACAATCAACATTAGTTATCTTCTGAGTCTTCCCAATAGGTTACATGGCTCATATTTGTGTTGAGTTGGCAGTGGTTGTTTTCATCCATTTCTAGATCATGTCCTAATAGCTTATACTCTATTAGTGGTTACATGAACTAATTTCCTCTGCCAATTATCCAAAGTTCATTTTTACAAGATTCCAATAACCTTTGCTCTGCCAGGGCCATCTCCCTCATCCTCATAGTCTAAAACAATTAGTTAGTGGTAGGTGTTTCATGGTATCCATACTGGTAGACTATTTCCTAATTTGATTATGAGACCCTATTTTAGCAATGTGGTCCTTTAGACTTTTTACACTTCAGCTAGCCATAAACCTCTCGCTTAGTTCAATATCAGTGATGGGAAAGAAGAAATAGTTACCAAGCCAGTTTTTAAGATAATTCTTTGTAAAGTCAAAAGTATACAATAGGGCTTAATTTTTATTCTTTTTTCTCTTATTGGGACAAAGAATAAGTGTTCTAGTCTTTTCCAGTATGAGACCTGATATGAAACAAATCTTAAAAAAAAAAAAACTATTCTGAAGGGATAGCTTAAAAAAGAGAATGGTGTTTGTTTGTTTGCTTTTGATGAAAAAGCTCATGACACATTCAATTTGACTCAGATTGGAGACAAGGCTGGTATGACCCTTTGGGGAAGTCCCTGGTTTTCACAGGATGGGAACATGTGTCAGCGCCTCCTCTCATTCTTTCCCCAAAGAGGGCTCTCCTTTCCTCTCTAGCCTGTTCCTGAGAGCACACTGCTGCTCCCTGAAGAGTTCCAAGGAGAAACCTGGCCAACTGAATGTGTTTCAAGACTTGTGCTAAAATACCTGTGGAAACAGTGTTACCCAAGAGGCATTTACCTTGATCTTTTCAAGTTCTTTTTGAAGAGCAGCCTTTGAGGGACAAACCAGATGTGCTTTCCTCCCACCACCATTCTTTTCCCTTCAGTTCTAAATGACATTTGGTAAAGTTCATCAGGAAGGACTACAGAGCATGCAGAATGAAGACATAGATGACTGTTTTGAGAGGAGGATGGAAGCAGTGATGTGTGTCCCTTACTTCTTTGTATTGAAATTGTCTGGTGTTTCTGTTTGTGATTTTCTTCAAGCTTTGGAAGAAGAAAGAAATAAAAATAGGCCCCACCATTACAACAGGACAAGGTTGAAATGTGCCATGTGGTTTGCTGCCTGAGTTGGACAAGATTCCAGTGGTTACCCAACTATGGAATTAACCAGCAGATGCCCCTGTGGTAAAATGTAGGCTCTTAGAACTTATGGAGGACCCACAGGGAAAGAAAAATAGGACAGTCAAGAAATTATTACAAAATATTTGAAAGCTTCAATCTCAAAACCTAGACATTTGGAAAATGTACACAAATTAGACCTGCATTCTGAGGCATATGTGGCTTGATAGGTGAACAAAAGCTTAAATTAGAAAAAGCTTATTTTAAACTCCATTCAGGTGGCAAAAGGTTCGAATTTTATGAATTTTGTTAAGTTTTAACCACCAAAAATTGCTTGTCCAGGTTCTGGACATATATGCTAAAGAAGTTCTGAGTTGTATTCTGAACTTTTGTTATATTTCTAATTTTAACTTGACTCAACATACAGAGAGGAGTGGGAATGGATCCAAAAGCTTTCTGGCTCTGAATCTATGGAAAGTGTGGATCATACTTCTGACTGCCCCATGCAATTGTTCTTCTACGAGCTCCAGATGGCAGTGAAAGCTCTCCTTAAGCAGATCAATATACCTCTACACCAGGTACTAGACTTTACCATTTTTATCTTCTTTTTATGGTTCATGGAAACTACATTGTAGCATAAAACTTACTCAAGAGGGATATATATATGCATATATATATACACACATATATATTTACTTTCTTTTATTTAAATACCACTTTGCATGTACGTGCACACTTTGAATTTAATGCTTATAAGCACACACAAACTATACTTGTGCTCTTTTTCCCTATTATCAGTCTCTTCCAAGTTTTCCAGATCCCACTGTACTGCCATCTAATCTACCTTGAAAGTCACCATGGCTCAATATCAGAATAGCATAAAGCAATGAGAATATATACATATATGCATGTGTAAACAAACAAGGGTGCAGCTAAATATACAAATGATTTATCTAAGAACAGAAGGATAATAGTATAATCTACAGTAGTGGCCCAACTACATCATTCTATCTACCCATTGAGAAGTTACTGTCAAAATTATTGTCTTATATAAATTAAAACATGAAATCTAACCTCCACAAATAAGTCATTTCAAAAAAATTTAAGAGAATATTAAAAGTTTATTAGGCTCTGTCTATCAATTTGATAGGATGTAGCACTAGGTTGAATTTGTTTCTTTTAGATATATGTTCATCATTTCTGCCCCTTTCCCCAAATCAATCCATCTCTCTCTCTCTCTCTCTCTCTCTCTCTCTCTCTCTCACACACACACACACACACACACACACACACACACACACACACACTTAGCCTATTTAGGAAAACCCTTACAGGAGTATCTGGCTCTCTTTTAATAAAAGAGAACTATGAGGTGGCCTCTGACCCATGGAGGCAGGGAGAAATTAAAGATTGCAGGAGTGTGCTTCCACTGGGGTACTGCTCTGATTTTAAGTCAATACTGCATGGCCAGTCTAAACCAGCCCAAACTAATGAATACTAATTTGCTAAACTGCAAGAGATGCCAGAAGTACACTATGGAAACAACTAGATTATTCCAGAGGTGGCCATGTGCTCATGAGGAAGGGGGAAAAAACAGCTCTACTTGTGACAGTCGATACTATTAAATGGTTTCTTGGACTTAACAGGTTTGAAGCAGCTCAAATTTCATTGGTGACTCTTGGGCTACATATACATGTTGGGAGAAAGCTGCCCAACTGCCTAACAGTATATACAACATTTTTTTTTTTTGATACTTGTAAAATTTTCTCAGTCCTTGGCCAGAAACTACATTTTTCCCCTTTAACCAACTTAAATTGAAACTAGTGGATTTTTAATTCAATCCATTTTTGTTACTTCATGTAATTATATTCATCATTTTGAAAAGCCCACAGAATGCAATCATTTTCTGCTTTTATAAGAAGCATAAATGTTGTTTTCAGAGTTTACGTGGAACATTATTGCCTTAAATCTTGATTTTATATAGCATTATTAAATGGGCTGAACCCTAATATTTATGTTGTATAAAAATTCCAAGCTTGAAGTCGTGTAATTTTGTTAGATGTTTTATGCCAGTTTGGTGTTGTTTATGTAAGTGCCATGTTGTAACTCTCCTATTTTTCCTCCGCGCGTGTCCCTCTGCAGGCAAGGAACTTCCGCCTCTACACACAGGAGGTGTTGGAATTGGGTCACAATGTGTCCTTTCTTCTCCTGCTCCCTGCTTCAGACGACGTCTGTACAGCCCCAGGACAGAATAATCCTTACACCCCACACTCAGGGTTTCTTAACCTCCCTCTTCAGATGTTTGAACTTGGTATAGTAGCTTGTTTCACCTAGAAATATTAACCCAGCCTCCTTATAATAAAATCACAAAGTTATATCTGTTCCCCCTTGTCCCAGTGGAGGGTCAATAAATCACATGATGGCTTTGGCAACAACCCTTCCTAGAACTGTGTACAAGTCTGAGAAAAAGCAAAGCTCCAAGACTATGTGCCTGAGCAATAATTATTGAAACATAGCTAAGGCCCAATGGAGAGGAAGGAATTCTAAACAGAAAGTTCAGTTATCAGGCTGTGCTTATTGCCTTTCCTTTGCTTTCTTAAAATATAAATATAAGAACGATGTTTTTATGAAAAGTACTGCCCCTTCTCTCCCCTTCCCCACCTCCAACTGGGAAAAAATAATAATGAAATTAAAATGTAGAGTTTGTATCACTTGGGAGGGGGAAAAAGGTCCATAAATATAAGTCATAAATAGACTCTAATATTAAATAGACTAAATTTCTGACAGACCATTAATAAATGCACCGAGTCTCTCAGGATGCAATGTTGTGACTTTTTATAAGGGGTTCTGAGTAAGGTGGAAGATCTTGTCCTGACTTTCAAAAATGAACAGCTTGGGCTCCAGTTTCTCCATCTTTGCAGAGACCCCTGCTGCCTACTGAGAATGTGAATAGGAAGGCTTTGTCTCCCTTTCCGTGCTTCATCTTGTAACAGGCCAATAAGAGGCAATTAGTAAGGTCTCTGTCAATTCAAATGAATTATACAGTTTGTGGGAGGCTGACTGGGTGGATGGATGGAATGGAGGCAGACCCTCTTTGAATTGCTCCCTAGCCACCAGATCTAGAAGCAGACAAGGAAACTGCCTGATGTCTTATTTTGAGACCTGGGCATTTGCATCTGAATTTATCTTTTCAGGATATTGTTTAAACTGCTCAGTTCCTATTATTCCAGGCAATTCAGATGCTAAAAGGTGATGAACAGCAACTGTTATTCTCCAGAGGAGGTAAAGTTCTTAAGATAAGTTTGAATCAGACTTGCAGACTGGAACTTGAGAGTTTTGGGTCACCTGCTGTATGACACTGGCAATCCCTTAACCTTTCTGTGCCTTTTCTGGGTTACACAATTAATACTATTAACCATACCACTCCCTAAAGCCTGGATGTAAATGTGACCATTTAATGAGTTCCCCAGCCAAAGGACATTATTAATCCATGTTATAACAGTATTGTTATTATGAAATATAGTTTGAGGCAAAGTATCTCACATGACCCAATGGCAATAGAAATAAATATTGGGTGCCTACTATAAGGATTTAGAAATCAGTAAGACAAAGGTTCTGCTCTTTTGATAAAAATTCAGAAAGAGGACAAGTGGTCCACTTTGCCTAGATCAGAAAAAAAAAATATGAGGAAACAGAGGAATAAAAAGCTCTACAAATAAAGTAAGGCCAAATTGACTCTTGAAAACCAGCCTGAAGAATCTGTTTAAGGTGGACCAGAAGCAAGGTTCAAAAAATTCAGAGATTATTATAATAGTTCAGGGTTAGGGTAGGAATCAAAAAGAAAAAAAGGAAATAAAAAGGAAACAAATACAAATATGAGAAATATTAGGAGTAATTAATAAGAGTGGGCAATTGTTTAAATGAGGTAAGGAGAAGTCTGAGGAATGCCCTGGTGGTTTTCAGTCCCAATGACTACAAATATATCGATGCCTCTACTAGAAGTATGAAAGTCAGGGAGAAAAACAATTTGGGGAAAAAAGTGATTTTCAGCTTTGAATATGTTGAGTCTCAAGGTGCTAAGTACACATGTCCCATTGGCAATAGAAATTCTGGAAAGAAAAATTGTTACTAAAACAGAAATTTGGCCAGTGTCTACTAAAAACAGCTAAAGCCATAAAAGTAAATGATTTCTGTAAGATAAGTAATTGACCAAGAACTAAGGAAAATACTTCATTAGAGAGCTAACCAATATTTCATTCTGTGTAAAACAATCATTGTTTTTCCATAATTACAGGTCAAACTACTTGAAATTCATTTTCCCATGTTTTAATGGCCTTGACGGAATAATCAGTGATTTGGTATCAATCAAAATAGTACATGACTCCTAAGGCCCTGGAGCGCCCAGACATGTGAGGGTCTCTCTTCTTTTCTGTGAGGCTCACACATTCCTCTTGGGCAACCACACTGTGTTCTACTGATTTGTACTCTACAATCTGGAGAAATGTACTAGTATCCATTTTCTCTCTCCATTCTTTTGTTTATGCATTCATTGACAAATATTATTGAGTAGGAGACTGAGGCAGGAGGATTGCAAGTTTGAGGCCAACCTGGGCAACTTAGCAAAACCCTATCTCAAAATAAAATGGAAAGGTCTGAGGACATATCTCAATGGTAGTGCACTTGCCTAGCAAGGTCCTGGGTTCAACCCCCAGTACCGGGAAGACCTTAGAGTGAGAGTATGCTTGGCTAAGAGATAAATGCACCTAGCATGTAGGTAAAAACAACAAAGATAGGAGATAAGATCAGAGAATCAATGGGGACCAGGATCATGCAGGCCCCATAGGCCATGATGAGGAATTTACATGTTATTTTAAATATATTGGGAATCCAATGGAGAATCAGGAGCAGTAGGGTAACATAAGTTCTCCTGCAAAATCCAGTAGAACTTCCTCACCACCAACAACAACAACAACAAAAAAAAATGCTTAACTTTGCTTACCTTAGCTTAACCCAACAGTCTCCAAATTCATTCAACCAAGACTGGAATCTTTTTTGCCACAGTACCTATTAAAAGTATACTGAACTCATATTTGGGATATGATGCCTTAGAACAGTGCTTCTCAAATTTTATTTGCATAAGAACTACCTGGATAGCTTGTTAAAATACAGATTCCTGAAGCCCAACCCCAGTGATGCTGAATCAGTACATCTGTGAAGAAGATAGGAAATGTACATTTCCAATAAGCTCTCTGGTGATACTAAATCCACAAATCCATTGACCATACTTAAAACAGTACTGCCAAACACACAGAGATGAACACAGAACTAGAGATGTGGTTAGTATTATAATACAGTAGAATTCAACTGTGTCTGCCTCCTTGATCTGCCTTACCTCCATATTGCTAAAAGCAATATAAGATCGGAAACTATCCTTCATCTATGAAAAGACAGAGATCAAAGCCCAGGTCTCACAGTTCCCGGCTTTAAGATGTTTCTTCCTAGAGTAAGACTTTCTTACTCTCTTTATCATCCCTTGTTGCCATATTATGGGTGATCCAACTGATCATTTAGGACCATGTAAATTTCCAGAAAAGACCTCTTAGTTGGGCTTGGTTCCACTGGCATATGCAATTCTATTAAACTTTTTTTAGGAACCTGCAAAAAGTGTTGCCAATACTTGATGATTAATACACTCTTTAGTACAATATTTATTGCATTCCACTAGTAACAATTTTAAAATATTACTGGGTCTCAGTAAGAATCATGACAAACTCTAACCTATCCCCACGCAATAAGAACTTTCCAAGAGGCAAATTATCAAAGCTACTTCCTCCAGTAAGCATCAGCCCACTGAGAAATTAATAACATCTTATATAGGAACTTTTAAGGACGGGCTATAGTTCATCTAACCCCTCTAAGAAATATGCTAAGCATTTTTTATTTGCTTTTTGTTAGAAGGGACTTCTATTCTCCATAGACAGTTTTATAATAAAACTGATACACTAAGCATTTCTGAGAAAGGAAAGAATGTTTTCAGAAATCCAGTCAGAACTCAGAAAAACTTTAATAACAACATGAGAATTCTAATGAAATTTGAAAAGGTGTGAATTATGGGAATATGTAAATTATAATAGAACAAATAATTGCACTATATTTCAGTTTGACTTGTATAAGTCATCCCCAGCCCCATGAAAGGATTTGAGATTTGGCAAACTGACCATGTTTCTGCCAGTGGCCTAAGTGAATCATAAATAACATTCTAACCAGCTATGTACCTATTCCAGCATTAAACAGATCTAGCAAGGACAAAGTGACAAAGGAGCTTAGCCCTCTGTCTCCTGGAGTAAAGACCAATGGGGCAAACACACAGGATACTCCTTCAGAGGATTATCTGTGTTTTTGAGAGAGAGATGGACCTATAGGAGGAGCATCTTATAAGATCTGGACAAGCAGGGTTCAGCTGAGGCAAAGTGGTATAATTTCACCAAAGACCCACTCCCTTTTCCACAGCTTCAGGGATGACACTTCATCTTCTCTGGGGTAGGAACAGGCAAGGATCCCTCTACAGGAATAAAACATGTGCCGGGGGGGGGCCATAAGCATCACTGTTTACACTATTCCAAAGATAAAAGGAAAATGAAGTATCATGAACCATTAGAAAATCCATCCAGTGATGTAGCCTCTTGAGGATTTGCCTAGCCTGAATACAGGAGGTCACCCTGCCCTGACCCTGTGGGCAGTCACAATTAACAGTAGGCTTGTGATGAGGAAAGCTGATTTTTATATATTCCTTTGGCTCTATGATTCATACTAACTGGACTAGAAAGACAAAAACTGGAGAATTTTTAAAAAATAGCCCTGGTATACATTTCATAGTTCTGTGCTTGGCTATTGACTATATCCTTTATTCAACAAACATTTACTGAGATTCCACAGTATGCCAGATACTGTGCTGGGGCTGGACATACAGATACTAAACAGGCACAGTGTGCCCACCAGAAACTCAGAATCTAGTAGGGAATGCAGGCAACTATGCCAATAGTCTTAAAACAATGAAAGCACTGCTATGAGATGTGGGCTACTGAATTTCGAGGAAAGATACTTATTCATTCCTTACAGAGATAATACTTTAGCTGGATTTTGAAGAAAAATAAAAATTCCGAAAGTGAAAGAAAGGCAGAACAGAAAAGGAAAATTATTTTAGGCAGAGAGGCCAGCATGCACAAAGGATTGGAAGGCTGGAAAGTTCTGTCCAATTAGATACATTCTTAGTAGCTCAATGTGAAGGATGCTTATGGCATCTGAGGAAGCCAAAAGTTAAAAAAGGGCAAAATCACAAAAAGCTACTCCTATATCATCCTAAGGAGGTGAGACTTTATATCCTGCAGGCAAAGGGGATTGATTAAAAAAAAAAAACACTTGAGAAAGGGACAACATGGTCTCAATGGATTTTAGTAGTTCTGTGAAGGATAGATTGTAGGAAAGTAAGGGAAAAAAAGGTCTGAGACCAGAGATTGATAATTAGAAAGACTGTCTCACTGGTTCAAGTAGGCAATAAGAACCTGAACCAAGGCAGCCACAGTGGAGGTAAAGAGAATAAAGCAGGAGAGCAAGAGGAATCTAGGAATTAAAGCTGATGAGACTTTGTGATTGATTTGATGTGGTTGAAGAGCAAGATGGAGGAGCCAGAAAGTCTGAATAGGGTGCTGAGATGAATAATGTTGACATCTACCCAAACAGGAAAAATATGAAGGGAGGAACAGGTTTGGGGGAGGGGACAGATGATGAGTTCAGTTTGACAAATGATGAGTTTTGAGGTGCCTGTGGGATATCCAGGCAATGAGCCTAATAGAATCCAGGCCATGGGCTTGCAAGAAATGGCATAGTCTCAACCTTCATTCCTAATGCCCATTATTCATAATTTAGGAGACCGTTCCTATATTCCAACTGCCAACTCATTCACTACTAGGAATCTAGAGGGGAACCTTCTGCCCAGGTTCTTTCTGAAACTTTGGCAAAGAATCATGGCACTTAAATGGACTCTTGGATATTATATCATGATTCCTTTACCTCCAAACCCACCCAGACTGATAAGGAGCTCAGCAAGTTAGAGAACCTTAGGGAAAATATTCTAATCTCAGTCCTGTTCTAATATTTTAGTCAATAAATGCTTCATTCCCCTTCCCAGGGCCGGGGAGGGGTTGGGACAGTGGGTGGGAACAAACATGTATTTTGTAAATGGTATGCGTTATATGCTCTGTTGGGTACCTGATATACATTGTATTATTTAATCCCAGGTAGGCATTGTAATCCCTGTTTTAGGGATAATACTAAGACTCCTAGAGGTTATCTGTACACCACACAGGTAGTGAGTGGCAGAACTATGATTCAAACCCAGGCCTGTGCGATAGCTAAGCCTATAAACTTTCCACTGTACTCTACTGCTAGTGTTCGTGCCAACTGTATTTCAGGCTGTCACTATCTTTTACAGGAAAAAGAGAGAGAGAGAAAGAAAGAGATAGAGAGACACAACACCACATAAAATCAGTCTTAGTTTGTAAGTTACTAACAAATCATGTGGTCCAGATAATGACATTATTGTAGCCTTATACCATCTTGTCTTTAAAATGAATGTGATTCACATTTTTTAAAAATTAGAAGCTTCCAATCTATCCTTCCCTCCTCAGTGATGGCTACCAAATGTATCATTGCTAGACCACAAAAGACTATGTTAAAGTAACATTTGTTAAAGTGACATTAAAGGCTCTGGATGAAAACCACTAGAGCGGGAAATGGAAGCGCTACAGTTGCTCATAACTCACTTGTGGTGCGTGGCATGGATGGTGTGGGTGCTGTGAGGCCACCCACTGATCTATGGCTCCTACTGCAAAGACACAACAAGGGAAAGCTGTGAACACCCTGACTTTTAAGATTCAGTTGGGACTGATAGTGTCTCTTTTAAAGAAATTATTCAGTGTATCTCCATAGTCAACTTTACCAGTCATATTTTATAGAGGGAAAAAAGTCAATTTTTTTTTTTACAACTCGGTTTGGAAAAGCAGGCTGTGAGACACTTCCCTCTCTCCACTCTCCAGCCAAAAGAGGACATCTGTCAAGTGCTAACAGGATATAATCCCTCCTTGAAAGGCATAAAGACACATTCAGAGAACTACATGGGTCAAGAGTAAGCTACCAAGTAATGGTGACTCCTTCCTGCAGAGCTGCCAGTAAATATCAGAGACCCGAAGTACCTTTCAAAACATGAAAATCTAGCACACAGTGAGAGAAGTGAGAACAGAGGGAAAGAAGAGCCTTCAGGGACAGGGTCTGCCCTCTTCAGATCAGCTCATGCATTTATTTTATTCATTTGGTCAATAAATATTAGCTGAGAAGCTACAATGTTCCATGTTTTGAGGAAATAAAAAGTAATAGTAGACATGCTTCCTGCCCTCAAAAAAATCAGTCTAATACCAAAATAGTCAGCTATCCACACAGTTACAGTGTAGCAGGATATGCCATCATATATTTAGAAATAAGTGCTCTAGAAGCACAAAAGAGGGAGAAACTGGTTCTGCAGGGAAAGGAAGAGATGTCAGTGAAAACTTCACTGAGAAGACACATCAGAAGAAACATCAGGATCAGAAGGTAAACATGGGTAGCTGAGGATGAGGAAAAGCATGTTAAAAGCATGAGAGTATAAAAGGAGTGTAGTATGTTCACCAAAGTAGTAGTTTCGCCAAAGGTTAAGGTTGATGCAGGGCTAAGGGTTGAAGGTGGTCACAGAATGAAAAATATAAGTGAAGTTATATTCAAATCCTCCACCACAAGGAGCTTCCTTATGGGAAACTTCCTTATGTTTGGATTTTATACTGAAGTCAAGAGCGTTCTCTATAGAGGTCTTTTAAGTGAAGAAACTGCTTGAGAATTCTATCATTTGAGAAAAGTGAAATAATTTGTCATTTACCGAAAGGGTATATAAAATCAGCTTCTCTTTGTGTCAGGCAAGGAAGTGCTAAAGAGAATAGAAAATATGGGAAGAAAGGATCTGACACCAGAGAGAAAAAATCAACCCCAGGTTGTAGACTACCTGGATTGAGAAATATCTCCTTGAAATGGGCACAGCTGGAGTAAGAATGAACCACTGAAGCCCTCACCCTATTCTTCTCTTCCACTTCTATGAGGAAAGACTTAGCAGGCTAACTTTCCACCCATCTAAGAGGAAATCACACAAGGAAGCAGGCAGTGGTAAGATGAGAATTGTGAGGTACACAGAAATCTCTCAATATGCAGAGAAGCAGGGCTTCCTCCCATTGCATAGAGATGACCAACGCCATATTCTGAGGCACTGTGGTTTAGCTTCCCTAAATGGCCAGATGTAGGTCTTGAGAATCAATAGAAAATGGTGCAAGAGCATTAATTATATGTTCTTTCTAGAATTTCTCACCCAAGAAGCCATAATAAAAATGTTCTAACAGACAGTTGAGTTAGAATGACCCTCTTTCTGAAGCATGGAACACACTGGTTAAGTCTGAGGTACACAAAATAATGAGGTTCAACAGTGAGCCAGAAAGAGACTGGAACTACACCAATCTGAATCAGGATGATTTTCTTATGCAATTGGAATCTGAAGTTATAGTTTATGATCAGAGTTTATCAGAGAAGACCAGACAATCTAACCATCTCAGGCTGTCTGCACTGGGCTCAGTCCTACATTGCTGGCCCTCTTGAACAGAAATAAATGAAGGAGATGAAGGTTGGACTCTTTCCTGTGGCTTGCCTCTGTCCCATTATTTTGAGAGGAGAAGGTCAAGTCTACTGAAGACAAAAATGGTCTGTCCAGGCGTCAGTTCCCACTATCCTTCCAGAGGAACTAAGGAAGGGAAAGATAGGAGGACCAAAGCCCATAATGACTGGCCCTCAAAGAAGTTTTCCAGTCAGACAAAAGATATCCCAAGAAAAAACATGGATCTTCTGGGAATTCTAGACTTGGAAAGGAGCAAGATACATAACAGGAAATCAGACATGAAAATTCAAATTTCAAATTGCTACTTGGCTTTGCTTTTTCTTTAAAGTGAAAAGCAAACTTATTTTTCCAGTCATACACAAACACATACATACATACACACACACACATACACACACACACACACACATACACACACACCACAAAAAAATACATACATGGATTTATGTGGACTTTAGAAAGCCACCTAAGTGAATTTAAGAAACACATACATACACAAAGATACACAGAATTATGTGTGACTTAACAATGGGGATTGGGAATACATCCTGAAAATTATGTCCTTAGGCAATTTATCTTTGTGCAAACATCATATAGTGTACTTAAACTAAGATGGCTATGATATCACTGGTGATATAATCTTACTGGACCACCATTGTATATGCAGTCCATGGTTGACTGAAACATCATTATGTGGCACATGATGACTATACATGAAATAAAAAGTCCTAATGTTAGGGAAAAGTCCACATAAACTGCAGCATGAGCCAACCTCACTTCCCCACACCTTACCAGGGCTTGGTAAACCTCAAAGGGAATAAATACTGTCTGAATGAAGCCAGACAACTGGCCCCTTAAGAGCACATTTATAATTTATTTATGGCTTAATATTTTCCACTGATAGGATTAATAAATCATGTTTTCATCCAATGGTTTTCTCTAAGGTATGAATTTCTCTATTTTGATACCAGATCTTAACATGTTTTATTTTGCTTGTCCATTTTCCAGTTCATTTTTGCAGCTATAGAGAGAAATTTATTAGTCTGTATTGCCGCCTTTCTGCTGTTGTGGAGCTGGATTCTCTGAATACCCAACAGTCCCTGAGGGAAGCCATCTCAGACAGTGAGGTTGCAGCTGCCAAACAAAGACACCAGCAAGTTTTAGATTTCATTCAGGTAACAGTTTTTGGTTTTGGTTTTGGTTTTTTCAGGTAATGAGAAGGAAGAGGCAGGGTGGAAAGGGTAAGAAACAAGCAGGGGAAAAAAAAAACAGCAATCTGGACAGATTCAAAGCACACAGTGTGCAAACAGCCTGTAGATCTGGTTAAAATATGGAGCTCAGGAAGATGTGTTTTCAAAGATTTAAGAAAACGTTACAGATAAATCACACTATTCCTAAGAACTGTATCAGCCATACTGTAGAAAAAAATAACCCCCAGAAATAATGATCAGAATATTGTTCTTGCCTGATATCCCATTGTTAATTCCAACAGAAAGAAAAATTTTAATCTACTCAATATCTCAGGGAAAAAAATGACCCATCAGTTTATGTTAACCCACATTCTTTAAGAACTGATATTCCCTGTGTTTTAAACTTTTGTCTAGCAGAGTTAACACTTTACTATGTGGCTACTGATATGAGAAAATATGTTCCCTGTCTATGGTCTTGTCTGTAAAGACCTCAAGGTGACAGCTCAGGGGGCTTATGAAAGGAGTACTAACTAGTAGTCAAAAGAATTTGGATCTGGCTTGAAATTGCCTCTAAATTCCTCAGCCAAATCTTACAATCTTTCCATCAGTTACCAATTCACACAATGAGTATAATAGCAACAGCCCCATTATAAATATCACCATGATATATATTCAGTTCAATTTGATAAATACTTATTAAACACCCAGGTGTCAGGCACTATATGGGAGATACAAAGTTGAAACAGATATAGTCCCTGACCGTAAGGAGTTTAAAATCCAAGATGATGGACAGAATATGTGTAAATACTACTTGTAAAATGTGCTGTATTTGTTCTGATTGGCCTGCTCACCAAATGATTTGCATCTCTCTCCTGGATTTGAGAATAATTACAGTAAAACAGACAAGATAACTTCTTACAACGATCCAGAAAAGGGTAAATGAGAACTTAAGTTTTATGAACTTTGGGCAAATAATCTCTCAAAGTCCCAATTTCATCTGAAAAAAATAGGGATGATAATAATAATAGTACAACCTCACAGCTTTACTGAGAGAATTCAATAAGAGAATGCATGTAAAACCCCCAGCAAAGTGTCTGTCACCTCATAGGCATACAATAAATTATATATTTATTTACTCATTCATTAATTAAAAGGAAAATCCTTTGAAATATGACTACACAAGAACTAAGAGTTTGAAGTATTCAGGACACTTGCGAAGTACTAAGTAACAAATCTTTAGGATTATCCTACTTCCCTCATCCTGGAAAGGAGATATCTTAGGTGACCTCTAAGACTAAAGAAATAACTTTTCAAGAAGTTACTTGTTCTGGTCTGAGAATATAATATTTAAAAATTCAAAACATTTGGTTCAGTTATTTCCAGTAAAAATGGAACATGGTGGGAAAGGGATAGGAAAGGCAGAATGCAGCATGAGGAGAATACAGAAGACTGGTTCATCTTTCGAGCCTTACATAAGGGACAACATAGCACGTAAGAATAATAATGGAAAAGTCAAAGAACACATATTTTAGCCCTGAATCTCCCTCTGATTAACTCTGGAGTAGTGGACAATTTATTTGATCTCCCAAGGTCTCATTCCATCATATGTGAAATAAAAGGACTGAATTAGATCATATCTAAGGGCTTAGTTGGCCCTAATGTTTCACAATTTTTAAAGAAATACTTCTCCAACCATGCTCTGCCTTCTTCCACATAAGCCTCTCTAAGTCCAATGTGCTCATCCAATGAGGAAGCTGACTCTCAGTAGTCTGTTGCATCTTGAACTCCTCCCAGATTTCCTGGCTCTATTCCCACTTCCTTACCACTACTCTCGCTCTTCTCTTATCACTTACCTAGAGCTTCACTAACATTTTCTCTTTGCCTTTCATCATGCCATTAAAGTGGGATGGATAAAAACAGATCACGCCAGAAATTTTTCAAAGTTCTTGCCTGCTCTGGTGTCCCAGAGCAGGTAACTTGAGAGCCCCTCTACATACTCCCTTACAAGCCAGCCAGGTATACATAGACTTGGATAAAAGCCAATTCCCAAATGGTTCAAAAAATAACTTCTTAGGCTGGGTATAACCAGACCCATCTTCCTGCCCCAGAGTCTTCATCTTCAGTATACTACACCTTGTTCCACCCAACTTAAATAACTACATCATCTCTCCCCTTATCTATATTGGCTTCTCCTTCTCTCTCTCTCTCTCTCTCTCTCTCTCTCTCTCTCTCTCTCTCTCTCTCTCAATGAAAACCAGCTGCAACCACTCATCCATTAGTGTTCACAGCTCAGACTACTACACACTATAACCTGCAGAGGCGACCGCCAGTCGCAAGAGCATTTGTATGATTCCAGATCTAAGACAGTGTTGAAGTCACTACACAAACCAAACATTGTAAAGAGCAAGGGAGTCTATGTAAATATGATTTGGAAAAGAAGCCAAGGAGTACAGCCAGAAAAGGGGAGGGTTGGATGGGGGGATATAGAAAACCATAGATAAGGTATACTGGCCTTAAGTCAGCACATACAGCAGAAAAGTCAGTGAGTAAAAGAAAAAGAGAGAGAAGGAAAAGGGCGGGGGAGAGAGAGAAATGTCAAAGTGCAAAGACCTAGAGCTCAGCATGTTTTGAGCTGCCAAAGCCTAAAGGGCAATTAGACCATAATTTATATACTGTAATGCTTCAAATGCTTCTAAGCTGTAATAGAAACACAGCTCATTAAATATAGCCAATCTATCATCCCCTCAAGCACCTTGTAGCTATGCTGTGAGAAAACCAATCACCTTTATATTTTAATAAAAATATTATCTTGCCTGAGTACAGAAAAAAGAGTCTAATTTATAGGATGAAAACTGAAATTTGTAAAGAGCAGGGTGAGAAATGAATGCAGAACTTTTAATCAACAGTCCTAGGGAGTTCATGGTCTTTCTTTTTTAAAATGTGTCAGCAAGTCTTTAGAAGCTGAATTTGGACCTTAAAATCAGGGGGGATTATGTTGTCAGTTACTTTCAGATCAACAGTATAAGGTAAAATGGGTGAAAATTATACTTCTTTTGGAGCTACTTAGCTAAGTCCCATTAAACTCAATCCATGGGCCTCCCTGTACCTATGGGTTTTTTGTTTTCTTCAGCTAAGACTTATCCATCTCATCACTGAAAAAAAAGCTAAGTAGCAAACATTTCTTCTATACAAAATTTTTTTAATTTCTATACTAACTCTATCCTTAGCAATAGGCTCAGATAATCTAATCTTAAAAAAAATAAACAGGTATGATAAGTACATTTATTCCCTAAGGTCTCTGTAACAAATTACTATAAACTGAGTTCCTGAAGACAATAGAAATTTATTTTCTACATTTCTGGAGACCAGAAATTTGAAATTAACATGTTGGTAAAGACGCACTTCCTAAAAGAGGCTCTTGGAATGGAAGGCAGCAGGGTGTTCATTTGCTACCTCTCCCAGCTTCCAGTGACTATTGGCATTCCTTAACTTGCAGCCACATCACTCTGACCTGTGCTTCTGTGGTCACATGGCCCCCTTTTCCTATGTCTGCCAAATCTTCCTCTGTCTTACTCTTACAAGAATATCCTTATGTTAACATTTGTCATTGGAATTAGGGCACATCCAGATAATCCAAGCTAAATTCCTCCTCTCAAAATCCTTAAACACATCTTTTTGCCATATAAGGTGATATTTACTTTTTTACCATATAAAGTAATATTCACAGGTTTGAGTATGAGAATTGGACATCTTTTAGAGGTCTACCTTCAGCCCACTACAATAACCATGATTGTCATTTTGACAAAAGTGCATTCTTCTACATTATCTTACTTTATCCTTATAATAACCCTTTGAGGGTAAAGATTTAAAGAATTATGCAACCATTCCATTCATTCATTCATCCATTCATTCTTTCACTAAGCAGTCATTTTTTTAATAACTACTCTACACAGCTAAAGAGAAGATAGAAAAGTATAGTTCCAGTCCTTGACAAGCACTCTAAAAGCAGTTCACAATAATGTGCCTTAAAATAACTTTGATAAATTTTTTTTAAAGTAACTTTGAGACAAAGAGTATGCTACATGAGGTAGGGCCAATAAAAGCCAGCTGAGACAGCTATAATCTCATCAGGAAAAGTCTCATCTGGGATTCCCACTTTGCTTTATCTCTTGAATTTCATATTTCTCCCTTCAAAATGGCTTGGTGCCTCCTTGTGAGCCTTCCTGCCCAACTCACCAAGCTAACAAACCCTGGAGCTCAGTATCATGCTCTGCCAGGTCCTATTACCCCAGAACAGAACTAGATAGCAAGGGAAATGACTATCGACCACACACACAATGCCATTCACTGGTTCATTCTAGTCTGCCTGTTATTCTGATCATGGCCCACTGCATGTTACCATTTCAGATTCAACTCTGTGTTGGGAACACCAGGTTTGTGAATATTCTTTAAAAGGCAGGCTTAAATACAGATAAGTACAGTTAAAGACACAAGAAGAAATTTTGAAAATAAAATATAACACTGGGCAATACCTTATCTTTAAAACCACTATAATCAAAAGGGCCTTGATCTTGAATTGTTCATGCAATGAACACCTTCTACCTGGAAGTAGAATTACATCAACTTTCTAAATATTCTTCAAAAATAAATCATAAAGTTGAAGTGACTTTAAACATCATTTAGTCCATTTTTGTGGTTGAGTAAATGGGCTTGAAGAAGTTAATGCCTTGCTCTAGGTACCTAGTGAAATCAGATGCAAAGCTAACCAGGGCCCTATGAAGCACTGTGTAACTAACTGCCTCTCCTTGGAGATAGAATAACCAGAAAGCTTACAGTCACCCTCTACCAAGACCTGGTAAAATATCTATCACCTATAGAAACAGGCACAGAAATTTGAGTGACTTTTACACAAACAGATTTTAGAGAAACTACTGTTATACTTTATAATGAAAATGTCATTAAAGTCACTTTGGTAATCCAGAAATCAAAACATAACAATTTAAAATGTGCTACCCTAAAAAAAATCCAAGAATGCTTAGATTACTTAAGAATAAGCTACGTAAGATGTTTTATACTTTGGAAGCAAGAAAACAATAAGTTTAATATATAAAGTTGCTTCATTTCTCTTAACATAGGCCCAAGTATTCTGATATTCACATCTGACTGTATTGCATCCCCCACAATATCCCAATGAGGAATATTTCATTAAATACTAAGAATTAATAGCACTTTATAAGTGTGTATGATGTCCTCTGCAATATCACAAAGCACTTTCAAATTCATCATTTTAGTCATTTATCACAGCCCTATGAAGTATAAAAGGGAAGATATTTTATCCATATTTTTTAAATAAGGCAACTTAGGCTCAAAATGGTCAAATACTTGCTAAAGGTTATTACAGAGCTAAATATCATCTGGGTCTTCTGTTTCCACTACAAGATATAGCTTTTCAGGTAAAATATGCAAAAAACAAGAGACTACAAAGAAGAGGTATTTTCTGGCTTAGCAAACACATTTTGAAATATTTTACTCTTATTCAAAAACCAATACTGTGGAAAACAGATCATTTTTTGGTTCTTAGAAAAACTTATTCCTTTTAAAAAGCTATTTGATAACTTAATGTCTCTTACCATTTTATTCCAAAGCAAATAGATGAAAGTTGGCGTGAAATGAGATGGATCATGGATGCTCTACAGTATGCAAGATACAAACAACCAGTTTCTGGCTTTCCCATCACTAAGCTGATATACCCCTCAGATGAGCAGGATCTAAAGAAGATCAATTCTACATCATCACATATCGACTGTCTTCCATCACTATCCCCATCCCCAGAGATGCACAGAAGAAAGGCAGTGAGTGGTAAGCAATAAAGTTCTAAAGTTCCTCGGTTCAGTCACCAGATTCTTGGTCCTCTCTCCACCAATGATTTTCTTTGTGCTGAGGCACTGGTTCAAGCAAATTGCAAGAAACACTGCTCAGTGGTAATAGTTTGAACACATAAAAGAAACCAAACCAGAATAGTGGAAAGGCCAGAAACTAGGTCAATAACCTGAAATCAACTCCATTTAGGAAAAGTGAAGAGTCAGTTAGGTTCTTGACCACACTTCCTGGAAAGAACACAGAGCAAGGGTAAAGATTCAGAAGTACCAAATGAGAATGGCTATGGTGCCAGGTGATGGCCATGTCAGCCAAGAGAATCTAATCAAATCAGGGTAGGGAAGAACAGACAGCCTATCATAAAGAAGAACTGACAAAACTGAGGCAGGAAGCCAAAGTAAGAGATGAAGACAAACTTCCCATCCATCTGGCACCAATATTCTGAAGTGAAGATGGGAAAGGGAGAAATCTTAGATAAACTAGTATCTCATAACCAAAGCCAAATAAGTAGCATGCCTCTCATGAATATGATGAACTTACAGAAAAGCTGAAGGATATGTCAAGCAAGGCACCTCCTCCCTTGGGAAGTCTGAGGTTAGATAGCAAAATACTATCAGCAAAAACATCAGTAGGTTAACAAATGTATACCAAAATCCTTTATGCTCATAAGCAGAGAAAAAGCATACTAAGCATAGGTTATGTAGTACCGTATAATTCTCTTTCCTAGAACATGTTGGGATTAGTGTTATTTGTCTAGTCTATTAAAATAATGGCCACTCAAAGCAGCTTTCTCAATTTTACAGCTTAAAAGATCTCCGATTTTATAATCTTCATAGTTATTTTTTAACAAACAGTTCCAATTTGTAGACTTGCCCCATAGGGGGCAGCATGGTGTAGCAGAAAGAGCTTGGGCCTAGAAATCAGAGATCTGGATTCAAATCTCAGCTTTGTTTTGCTATATGTGCTTGAACAGATTACCACATGTGAGCCTCATTTCCATTATGTAAAAGGTGAATAATAATATATACACCTTGAAGGGTTATTTGTGAATAAGATAATCTATATCAGCAATGCGTGGGATATAATACACAATTATTACAGACATATTTAATGTTGTTATTCTTATTATAGAAAAATTTAGTAAGGACATTAGCTAAGTCTATAAGTTAAGTCTGTATGTGCTCTTATGATTTAAAAGTCTCAATGTCTAAAAATCAAAACTTGGCAAAACTTGGCAAATTGAGGAATATTGGGAGACAGCTAATTTATATTACCAAAGGAGTCCGTGACTTATCAACTAATTCAACAAAAGAAATAGAGTATATTTTTATGAGCCTCTACTGGTTTGGGGATACAAACCAAATATCTTCTCTGCCAGAAACTAGTCTAATAGGAGATAGAAATATATTAACCAAAAATTGCATGGGTTATAGAGTCTATTAGAGGCATTAGCCTTTAAACTCATGAGATGTGAGTTTCTTGGAAGAAGTGACAGAATCCAGTACTAAGAATAAGCCAAAGATGAGCAGAAAAAGAATAAAATGGAGAACACTATAGGCAGAGCAAACAGATTATAACTGTGTACACTGTCTCACTGACATTCAGGACTTAAAGACATTGTTCATTCTTTTTGTTTTTCATTTAAAAATATTTTTTGAATACCCAGTATGTGCCAGGCACTCTTCAAAGAAATGGGATATAATGAAAAAGTAAAGTCTTTATTCCTATAAAATTTATATCTAGAAAGAATGAGAAACAATGAAAACATAAACAAAAAAGATAATATCAGATAGTGAAAATTCCAGTGTCTAATACAAAATAGCAATTGAATTGTGAGTAGGCAGGAAGATGTTGACTTCACTAGGATGATCAACAGAGATCTATCTGAGAAGGTGTGATATTTGAACCAACCACAGGATAAGGCAGTAATGCGAAAATCTGAAGATGGAGTATTATAAGCAACAAAAGAACAAAAGACCTTAGGTGGGTGAGGAATGGAAAGAAGGTCCAAGTGCTTGCAGTATAATGCACAAAGGTGCAAGTGGTACAAGATGGGGGGGCAGGGGGCTGGAATAGGCAGGATTCTGTAGGCAGTACTAAGAAGTTTGGATGTTTCCTACTTGTGACAGAAAGCCACTGGAAATTTTTAAGCAAGAATTGATTGGATCTTCAATTATAGTTCCACTTTCAAATCTTACTATTGTATGAAGAGACCATAGAGGAGAACTACTGAGAGGAGGGAGACCAATTAGGAAGCTATTAACGAAGGATATAAAAAGTTTTCTGGCTTAGGTATTTGGGGATATCATGATATTATTTAACAAAAAAAAGAAAAGAAAAAGAAAGAGAGAGAGAGAGAGAGAGAAAGAAAAGAAAGAAGGAGAAACAAGCTTGGTGGTTGGGCATGCTGAACTTGTATTAGCTTTGGAATATTCCAGAGGAAAAAAAGATGAGTACGGTCTGGAGCTAAGGAAAGAAAACTAAGCTGCTTATACAGATTTAAGAAATTGTTGACATGTGGATTATGTTTGAAGCTATGAAAATGCTTGCAATAGGTAAAATAAGAAGAGAGGATGATGGAAGTATTCCCTATGGAATGAAGCAGCAAGACTTCTTAGTCTAAAAGGGAACAAACAGAGAAAGAAGATACAAAAACAAGAGAGTATTGTCACAGAAATTAAAGCATGTCAAAGGATGGTGAGAGGTTAAACAAAACAACTGTAAATCTTCTGTTGTTTTGCTTTTTTCAACAAGAAGTCATTGGTAATCTTAATGAGAGCAGTTTGTGAGGGGAAAGAAAAGCTGAGCAGAAGTAGATCAGAGAGTAAATGGGAGGTGAAGAAGTGGATCAGTAAGACACATTCTATTATAATCTTGGCTGTGAAAAGGAAAAGGGAGGGAAGGCAGTAGCAAGAAGAGTAAAGGATTGAAAGGCATTTTTTAAGGCAGGAAAGAATGCCCTATCATCTTCCACAGTTCATAAAATTCTAGAAACAACCCTTTAATTCTATTTCCACCTTCACAGCTCATCAGCCCGCTCTGTTCACAGAACTTTCCCAGTGTTTAATCTTCTCTTGGCCACACAGTCCCAAGTGGGTTCCTCCTTGGCTGTATGAGGGTGGCCTCCTCCATGCCATAGAAATGCCAAACCCTCACATTGGCCTGAGGATGGATTACACACACTCCCTGCTGGGAGGATCTGGCCAATTACATTTGGATTTTATTATTAACTTAAAATGTGAGTGATCATCATTCTGTTTCCTAAAATACAACTTTCTCTTGGGTCCATTTATTTCTCTGAAGCCAAGATTCCATGGGCTATGAAACACAAAGACGTGGAGGGCAGCAAATGACAAATGGAACCCAGTGACAGGGAAGCACTGTTGAAAGCAAGGAGAATCTTATCCCCTTGAAAAGCAGAAGCCTTTCAGAACAATGGCATCTACCACACCATACTCTGTTCTCTCCACAAGTGTGACCATTTCAAATTGTTTGGAGACCATTTACAAAAGAGGAAAATATCCACTTTAGAGGAATATCCCCAATGGGTTACTCAACGAGGCTAGGTTTGCAGCATAATTCCATTCTGTGAAGACAGGGTTCACCTAACTTCTAAGGAACCTGTGTGACCTACAGAGCCTATGGTGCCAGCCCAAGATTCTAAGGTTGTTAAAATCATGTACCTTTGATTTGTTTATGAAAAATTTGTTGGGGATGGGAAGGCAGGGAGTGGAACTCTTTTAACTTACTTCCCATTTCTGTGTGGTTTTTAAAACACAAAGTAGAACTCTTCTGAGTCAATTAAAATTAAGCATCTCCCAAGGACCCAAGGGGGAAAGTTGGCTCCTAGAAAAGGCAGCTCAAGGCAGGGGGTGGAATGATTTGGTCCATCACATGGGTATTTTCTCTCCCACTCCTTTTCTGTGGGTATAGTGGTCACAGGCAGCAGCAATCTTTTTTTCCGATACTGATGTTTCTCCTGGTGACACATGGGTGAGGCAATAAAGGGGAGGGGGTGTTATTTTCTTCACATGTATTTGAATATTATCCTGATCTTCCAAATGTAAATGTTCCTGGTAACCTTTTCCCTCATGATGTTAAGAACACTGTGATATAAACCAAAGAGTTCAAAAATTCAATTTAAAGATATTATTTCTCTTGGGAAGTTAGAAGGTGAACAAATCTCTGAGGTTCTACCTAAGGCCTGATGAGAAATACAAAAAAATTATTTATTTTTATTTAGTTAGTTTTTGTGACTGTTGTTGTGGGGATTGTGCTTGTTTTTTGCAATGCTGGGATGGAACCCAGGGCAAGTGCCCTACTACCCAGCTACATCCGAGCCTAAATTTCTTTATTTAAATTATTTAAATTCTACTCATAGAGGAAATAGATTTAATGAAGCACTACACACATACACATATATATGTTTATACATATATATTTTTTGTTATATATATATATATATATGTACATATATTTGGATAGTGACACATTAAAAATGTGAAGATAGATTTTAGGCCAGATATGACTTATTATTTCTTTCTATCCTGCCATACCCCCTGCCTTGAAAAAAAAAAAGCAACAGCTTTAAATCAATTATTCCTTCCTGAAATGTCATCTCCCCATAACGCCCTCAAAATCCACATCAACTCTACTCTGCTGTTGTTGGCCTGATCCACAGAGACCAGGAATTGCAACACCATTACAATAGCATGAAAGCCAAGCTTCCTAAGCCAGCACTAATACTATGGGCAGAACTTTCAAGAGGCTCCCAGGTCAACCAGAGGGGAAACTCAAGATTCTACTAGTGCTGGCCTGCCCAGTGAGCCCTCTAAGGGAAGTTGAGGAGCACAACCAGGTTTATTAAAATAACAACCAGGCAAGATGCCTACAATGTTTAATGGAGCATATGGCCTGGATCTGGAGATGGAAGCTGCACTTTGCATTCTATTCCAGGAAGGGAGGGAGTAGTAGTGGCCTAAGTCCTTGGAAACTCTCCTCAGTGCCCTGGCTGGCATCCTGGAGATTTTCCCAGCTTGTTCTGGGAGGGCTATCCCACTCTAAGCAATAGATTCCACTAAGTCTTCTAATAATTATACAACTACCATGCAAGTCAAATATTTAGATTCCTATTAGAGCAGTATTTCCTACCTATGGGTCTGTGAACAAGATGATATTTACCACTCCATACCCAAGCCCTTTTTCACCCCCATCCTGAATTATTACATTTATAACTGGGCCTTGTTTCACCTATTATCTCTAATGCTCCTAGAAACTATAGTAAATAAGTTGTATCATTTACTAATTCATTCTGGAATAGCTTATCAACAGAAGATGCCATACAAGAAATTATTGTACTCCTTTATTATTAACAGTATTCTCACAGCAAAATCTTGAAATATATCTGTTTACTGATCTATATTTTAATGATCTTCATTTGTTTTCTAAATATTTTCTATTACAGGTGAAGGGATCTTGATAATGGTATGCCTTTGGTTTGTAAGGCATTTAAATGTATATTAGCAAACTAATATAATCCTCATAGCACCTATGGAAGATAAGCAATATTAACTATCTGCATGTTATAGACAAAAAAAGGTTCAGAAAAGTTGTAATTTACCCAAAATCATAGACACAGATAGGAGCCTGATAGAACTTCAGCCTAGGTTTGTCTAATTTTAAGACAATTGTTCTTTCTGCTCTACCTGGGCTAACTCTTGAGTCAAATATCACCAAAGATAAAGCAAAATTATCTGGGTAACTGTTTTAAGGAGTATATATTGCAGATTAAGTAAATTAAAGCTTTTCAAAATGCTTTCAGCGTTGTTTTCAAGGGACAATCAAATCTTACTACTCTTTTATGTTCCCATATTTCAGTGTCTGTTTAAGTTCCACTTCAATTCAAGGTGCTTTACAGCATAAGAGGCTAATAATAGAAGGATGATGAAGATGGAGCCTAATGGGGAGGTTCTCATGGTCTGCTCATATGCCCATGTTCAGATTAGATAATCTGGGAAATAACAGGAGATTCCACAAATCTCTTTGTTTGACTCATTCCTTAGCCCATTCCTTCATTCACTGACTTATCCAACATTTACTAAGCAGAGATATGAAAAAGACATAGTATACAGTATGTGGTCTCTAGGATTTGTAGTTCAATGAAGGAGACTAATATGAAAACGGATATTTGTAATAATGATAATAAAATTGTAAGTGCAATAACAGATAAAAGTAAAACTTGATAAGAGGCAAGAGAACTAAGCAACTTCCAATTCATCTGAGGAAATCAATACAGGCCCTTCTAGAGAGACCAGGTCTTAAAACATGAATGTCTGCTCCTTTGAAGCACATCTTCTTATACTCCTTAGTCCTCTCTAAACAATAAATGTTTGCTATTTGTATAATGAGAGATAAAAGTGCAAACTATTTTTGCAAAGTACTTGACCTATGAACTGGAAATAGTAAGAAAGTGTCACAAACTCCTCAGTGGTTGCTTCTGGTTTTAAGAACTTTTACTATCAGTCGTCCAGTGAATAGAATGATAGCATCCTCCTACTGTGGTTCAATCTATGACTGAAGATATTTGTGGTGAGGTTGATAAATTCAACAAGAAGCGTTGATCAGGTTTTGAACTCTAGTGTTGGCCTTGCATCTTAGTAAGAAAGATGGAAGAATGTGTTGTCCTCAGACAAGTGGTTAGGGAAGAAGACAAAGAGACTTTAAGGTTAAAAGGAAAGAAATGGATAAAGCCTTGGGCTGAATAAATTTGGTAATTCTTAAGAAGTTTTTTTTAAAGGTAAAAAAAACCTCTAAAGCTAGGCAATCAAGGCCTACATATATGTGGACTCCATAGTCTTCAAAGACCAAACTATTTTTCAGCCTCCCCATCTAAGCATCAGCTTGTTTCCAAGGCTGACTGAACACATCTTGTTGTAGGCAACTTAACAAAAGAAGAACAACAAAATGACCTGTCTCTCAGGGTAAGCCAATTCTTTTATTCAGCCTTCTGGAAGTTTCATACAATACTTCCAGTTTTATCTCAATGGCCAAAAATAATTTTATGATCACGCCCAGCTGTAAGGGAAACTAAAAAAAAAAAAGGTATTTTATGTGAGAGCATAGTTGTCCCAAATGAAGTTAAGATTTTGCAACTAAAAAAGTATACTGGTTACAACCACATGTGAGAGAGTGAAACTGACATCCTGCTCTGCCAATTATGAGTAAATATGCATGTCATCTCCTACAGTCAGGAAAGAAAGCATAAAATCACTTTATACCCTGACCCTGAAATAAACAAACAAAATGGCATTTCATGTATCTCTAATTTCTAAAGTAAAAGAAACCCTGATATTAACTCCCTAACAAAACAAACTTTATCCCAGATTTTTATAATATTCTTAAAATACTTGTATCTGATTTTCTACCACAGACTATCTGTATCCAGGTAATCCTGTGGATTTTTTTCTTCAGTTATCTGTTGCATTTTTTTTAAAGAGAGAGAGAGAAGAAAGAGAGAGAGAACTTTTTAATATTTATTTTTCAGTTTTTGGTGGACACACATCTTTATTTTATTTTATGTGGTGCTGAGGATAGAACCCAGCAGCCCAGTGCATGCCAGGCGAGTGCGTTACCACTTGAGCCACATCCCCAGCACAACATGTTGCATTTTTTAATCAACAAGTCTTCTGAATATGGATTCCTTTCCAGATCTCTCCAAGTAAACTATTTTTCTTTAAGTAGTGCTTCTAGGCCTCTAAGTCTTCCTTTCACAGCATCCTCAACCACAAGATGATGTCTCGTTTCTCACTATTATAAATCATGCTGCAGTAAACAACTTGTAAATGCCTCCATGTGCACATGGTGACAATTTCTCAAACAGATATCCAAAAAAGGACTTGCTAGGATAAATTATATGCACATTTTAAATATATTCTGCCAAATTGCTGTCTAAAGAGTTACACCAATTTATCCTCCTCATCACTACATGAGAGTCCTTAATTTCTCACACAACACTAACACATGAAATTTTCACTCTTGAATCTTTTGTAACTTTCATGGGCAAAAAAAAAAAAAAAGCCTCATTGTTTCAATCCATTTCCCTAATTACTATCTGGGCTAAACATAATAATAATAATATGTTTATTGGCCATTTGAACTAATTATTCTTCCAAGTGTTTCGTTCTTATCTTCTCTCATTTGCCTTGTCTCCTAATTTACAGATTTTTATATATTCTGACTTTTATTCTTGTTACACGTTGTTATTCTTCTTCTAATCACTTACGTTTTAACTTTGCTGAAGATGCCGTTTGTTTTTACGAAGCATTAAACTTTGATGCAATCAAATTTATCTGCCACTTCTTTTGTCCTCTGCGGTGTTGTCTTGCTTTAAAAGATCTTCCCATTCAAAATCTGCAAACATGCTGATTTCTAATATTTGGGGGTTTTCTTATTATATTTAACCCATATGGAATTTATTTTGATATATGTTATGAAGTAGGACTTTCTCTAATTATTTTGCTAAAAAGACAGCCTATTGTCCCAACACTACATATTGAATAATTTATTTTGTTCCCATACTTTTAAATTTTATCTTTACCATATGTTAAATTACCACAGTCATATGACTGTCTCTGGACTCTATTTTTCTGTACTTCAGATCTGTTACATTTCTGTACCAATACAACAAAGTTTTGATGACCAAAGCTCTACTGTATGCTTTAATATCTGGTAAAGCCGACTCCTTCCTATTGTATTAAAAATAAAAAGTTTGCTATTCTCATAAATTTTCTCTTCCACAATAATTTTAAAATCAATTCATTAAATTCCATTTTAAAATCCTATTGGGATTTTCACTGAGATTACCTCATATTTATAGATTAGGGACTACTTGTTTTTTAAAACCACTTGCACATTTTCAAAATTAACATGTATTCATCAAGTACCTACAATGGGCTAAGCTCTGTGGGAAATTCAAAGGATTTCAGACAGTTCTTGCTATACAGAAATGTAAAACCTGATTGGAGAAAAAAAGATATGAACAACTACTGAATTAAATAACAAATATCCATAGAACTAAACTTGTAGCTCACTCATGGCCATTATAGTATGCACCCTGAGGCTTATTTTCGCCTCTGAGTTTGTTTGTTTGTTGGGCCTTACATTTTTTGCTTTTTAAAAACTGGCAATGTGTTAAGTCATAAACATAATCAGTTTATTCTTTAGTCTTCCTAAGTAAGTACTGTCATCATCACCACTTATAAAGAAACCAGAGCTCAAAGAGGTTAAGCAACTTTCCTAAGATCACTGAGCAAGTAGAGGGAAATGAGGATCTTAAACCAGATTTCCTATCTTCAGTCACCTGTGTCTTTTCTTCTTTCCCCCTTTAAAAATCCCCATTGTGTGAAATACAAAATTCATCTCAGAAATAATAAGGAATGAATAAATGAGCAACATCCGGCTTTGTTTCTTATTTCATCCCTTCTGCAGATAGATGCCCAGAGAATAAAAGTGTATGTATGTGTGTGGAGGGGGATACGAAGGAGTGTTCCTCACCATTATTAGGGTTGGATTTGTCAGTTCATCTCTTTCCCTTGAGCCTTCTGTATAAATTGTCGGGCCTTGTGCAAAATGAAAAAGTGAAGCCCTTGTTCAAAATTAAAGTTTCAAGGGGTGACAACAGGAGAATTTAAGTGATGCGTGGGGCCAATGCAGGATCCTATGCTCATGATGCAAGCCCTGGCTCAGAGTCTCTTTTTCCTAACATTTGTTCTTGGCTTTGCAGAGTCCCAGCCCTGCTCTGATGAAGAAGGCTGTTCGGAAGTCTTCCTCCCCACGGACAGCGACTACGACTCCAGCGACGCCCTGAGCCCCAGAGACCTGGACCTGGTCTACCTTTCCTCCCATGACATCGCCCAACAGGCCCTTAGCGGTCTCAGCGGCAGCGCCCCGGACGTCCTACAGGTCCACGACATGAAGACGCCAGTGGGACTGGGACAGGACCCCCAGGGCAGGGCGCAAGGCCTTGACCCTGACCACTCGTGCGTCGAGTTCCTCCACGGCCTGTCGCTCACCGGCCTCGCGCCCAAGAACCACGCCAAGATGGCACCGGGCGCACGGCCGCCGCTGGGCTTCCTGGGAAAGCGGAAGTCAGGCAAGCACCAGCACTACGGAGGCTTCAGCCGCCACCGCCGCTGGCTGCGCATGCACAGTGAGACGCAGTCGCTGTCGCTCTCCGAGGGCGTCTACACGCCTCACCTGTCCCAAGCCTGTGATGCTGCCCAGGAGCGTAGGGTGGCCGAGGGGCCTGGACCTGCCCTCGACGGGCCCCGGGGCCTGACCTTGGCCCACGCAGCCAGCCTGCCCGAGGAGCGCAAGGGCTGCCTCCAGGACCCGAGGCCTTCTGCCCACCGCATCTACGTGGAGCCCTACCCCGGCGCCCTGATACGCCAGGATGCCCAGCCGTGGTCCGGCTTGAGCCCGCCCCCTGGAGGCCGAGTCCGTCTGTCCAGCCCTGCCCATCCTGAGATGAGTCCCGAGGGTCCCACCTCGCCAGTGTCCGAAATCCTCAGCAGCATGCTTTAGGAAGGCCCGCGCTGGCTGTCCACCATCCCACTGCTAGTCCCTGCCTTGCCCATCACCCTGGCTGCCCCTCTTTGTCCTCACCCATTTTTGAACGTTTTGAATGCTACAAATCCAAAGGTTACAGGTTCAAGGACCTCTTATTTAAGAGTAGAGCAGAAGCCAAGGCCAGAGTTGCCAGCGCTATTCCCGGTTCAACCTAGAAAGGGCGTAGAGAAGCTTTTATGTCAACATGGAGTCTGAGACGCAGTGATTCAAACATGCCACCCCGTTAGTGGCATCTGTGGCCGAGGAAGGCCAGCCCGAAGACACACCCTCAGTTTTGCAGCTGGCTCTGTAACCTGACCCCTGGGTTTAGGGCTGTTTCATGAATCTGTGATTAATGAGGAGTTTTACAGCTGGAAATAAGATTGGCATAGCTTTCTCCTTGAATCCAAACCTTTAGAGTGGTTTAGGGAAAAGAGACCTGGGTTGTGTCTTCAGAGCATGGTACCAAGTAGACTTTAACTAAGAGTTCCCTACCAGCTAAGCCGGGTCATGCCAAAGTGCAGGGTTCTCAGAACTCACCAAATCCAGTTTATCATCAGCACTTATCTGATTAAATAGGCCTTGGCAGACCTCTTTGTCTTTTAGTGCTATGTGGAGACCACCAGAAACTAAAATAGAGGACACTTCCAGCTCTAACTTGCAAAGATAGAATAGGATAGAAGGCAATCCTTCCTGCTCATTCAGCTCCCATTCTAATCTGAAAACGAGCCATAAATTGTCCTAGGCTGCAAGGAGATGGCTGAGTTAAATGAAAGCCTGAATTGTAGACAAGACCAGGAGAAGGAGAGAAATATGAGCAAAAATGTATTTCCTTTACAATTCTAAGCAAAAGAAGTCCATGGGCGTCATGTCTCCCAAAATTGCAGTGGATTTGCTCAGGATTATGAAGTGGTGAACTCATCTTTAAACAAGGAAGTTCCCTGCAGATGTGGCCAGGCAGTGATAGGCTCCTCACAGCCCCTTGAACATACCTCTAGGCCCACCCCACAGGTCAAGGGACTGGGGTCCAGGGTTAGGATTGGCTGCCTTCCTCTTTCAAATCTATTCAATGTCGATTTTGCCCCAAAATCGTCTGGCCCATGGGCCACAGGAAAAATCTTTCTTCAGAAGACCCTGGCAGTGGTTTATTCCAAGAATGTGCTCAAAAACACCTGGAAATCCTATACTCATTGACTCTTTCCTAAATTTCTCACAAATAAGCAACCCAAATCAAAGATAAATTCCACTGAATATTCATAAAGGGCATGAGTCTTTCATCTCTTGGAATCAAGACCCCTTCAGTTCAGTGATATTCTAAATGATTCTTTTCTGCTTCACAGGCATTTTAGTTAAATATTACTCTTTATGAGTCCTTCCATTTCTGCTCGTGGGAATTCATACAAAGTCCTCTGTTCACAATGTTATTTTGATCCCTTCCATTTTTAAAAAATTTAAACATAAATAATTACCATGCTGGAAAGGCACATATTTGACCCATGGCCTATGTTCATTAGAAAACTAAAGCCCAGAATTCAGTCTTTATTTTTTTTTAAGAGAATTTACACTCAATGAACTCCCTCCAAAATCTTCATCAGAATCACTACTGTTCCTTTTCCACGCCTGGGAGGATTTTAAAGTGTAGTTTTCTTCTATGTGAATGATATGGGGACAGAAGGAGTAAGAGTTAAAACAAGAAAGGCCATAAAATTTGTCCAAGTCCTTGCATTTATCAGGAAGGGCAATTAAAGTCCAGAGAGGTTAAGTACGTTGCTCAAGGTCTCAGAGCTGGTATAGTCTTAGAGTTAACATCAGAAACAAGAACCATATCCTTTATAGCAGGCTGTCCCATTGGGAATTGAAATATATATAGTCAACTCTTGATTATCTACAAGCTAATTACCTATTGTGCAAAACTAGCTCAGTGATAGAGTGCTTACCTAGCATATGTGAGGCATTGGGTTCGATCCTCAGCACCACATAAAAATAAAGTGTCCATATACAACTAAAAATATTTTTTAAAAACCTTTACTTCCAATTTCAATTCAAGTCCATTGCTCAACCTGTAGCTAACAAATTTCCAATATCTCAGAGTTCCTTGTTGCTAGGGAATGCAAAACTTCATGTAAAAGTTATCTAAGTTTACTAGCTAAAAAGCAAATTTGAGAGAAATTTCAGATTATGACTCCTAGATAATAAAAGGAATGGCAGAGTTACACACATTAAAGTTTCTTCTTATTTTAAGTAAGACAGATTGTTTACGTGAAATGAGTCCCTGAGATGAGATGCTGGAGTTGTCAAAACCTGAGAAGCCACGCAACTTTTTGATCCAGACCTTTCTGCCAACACAGGAGGAAGTTTTTGACTGTGCATCAGATGGGAGGCATTCAACAAGCAACTGAGACAGAGACTGACCCACCTTTTTGAACCCTCATTTGGTCATCAAGTTCTGGCTTACTGGACCCAAACTGTATTAATTTCAAACCCACTAACTTATATTGGGGATACAGTCATCTTTATTTTTTCACAAGTAAAAGAGAAATGAGTAATGCACAGTAGATTTTATTGGGCCTACTTGATCCACTTGAAAGTGTATTTTTCTAGCAATATTTTCTTAAAAAGTGGATATTTTATATCCTCAAGAATTAGCCATTTGTTCAGGTTGATCACCCCCATGTTCCATTTTGTAACACTCGTGAGCTCTTAATTTAAGAATTAAGGTATTCTAGTGAGAAAAAAAAATATGTGTTCTTTAATTCACAGATTTATATTTATCTGCATTAATTATAGAGATATGTCAGTGTCTAGGGAATTTTTGTTTTTTTATTTCAGATATGATGGACTTGGCCTTTTATTCTTGTCAAATCCAATCTGAGAGGCTTTGGAGGAAACTTTCCTACCCTGGGTCTTCTTTTCCAGCAATTTTCTCATGTGGTTTACTCTCCACTGCATTATTCAGCTCCCATCATTTGTAGAAATCCTTAAAGATCTTAACCAGGGCCTCCCATATCTCTTTTCCTCCCAAGTCCCATAGAGAACCAAAGAATCAAGGGTGAAACACATCCCCAGGCCTCAAGGGGCTCACAATCTGATCCAAGAACGCAGCCATACATTCAGCATACATCTTCTCTTTGAGGACTTGAAGAAGCAAGAACCTGTCTCCTCAGCTAGACAAACATAGCACATGTTCTGCTAGACATCTTTGATTGCACCCCCTGCTGTCTATTTGTAAGGGAGGAGAACCTAGAAAATACAAGTCCTGGATGTATATGCTGGACAACATTTACAAGGCTATCGCAGCCTCTTAATTGGTAAGGGTACCTGGTAGAGAGTAATTAAAAACTTTCACTCCAGGGAATGAGTATTTTAAGAAGTGGGTACTTAAAGATGAGATCCATTCCATTTTAAGAACATTCACTAACGCTCGAAGCAATAATTACACTGGAGAAAATGGTTCCATTTGGTTTGAAAATTGAAGCCAGTTTGTAATAATATTCCTCCAGTCCCCTTTCCTGAAGGATCCCAAAGCACTTCATGAAAAGCAATGACTGAAGCCTTGTTGTATTCCCCTAAAGAGACCTTGTCTGGGAGCCACCTGGCAAACACCTACCCCATCCTTGCCAGGAGATCATGCCAGACAAGTGGAAAAGAGGACTGGCCTCTCATTCATTGTTCTGGTGCCATACAAACGTGTACCCTGCTGAGGGTTGAGCTCTTCCCTGGAAGATAACCCCGTTAGGCAAGAAGGCATGCTAGAAAAATCTCAGCTCCCAGCCTCCTCTTTTTCCTTGCCCTTCACCTAAGATGTACTTGCTTTCTCTTGGAAAACCATCAATTCAAGCTGTCAGGGGGTCTGCAGTGCGTTTAAGTTCCCCAGTTATGTTAACAGCACACAGAATTTACTGGCTTCAGAAAATTTATATATGCAGAATGCCACTATTCTACAGCTCTCAACCCTGCAGGCAGCAGAGCCACAGCTGAGAGGGTGCATCTTTGCATATTTGTTTATTAAACCTTAATATACAGATTAAAGAGGGTAGTTATAGATGAACAAGAGCACACTCTTAGCCAATTCAAAGTGTTATATTGTCACTTTATAAAGCCTAAGTATTTTTCCAGATGATTCAGTGAAACAAATCTGGGATTTTTGTCAAGGTCATATCTTGAAGGAAATTTTTAAAGGAGCTATTTGGAGAGCAAGGGTATCTCTTGATAGGTAGTAAGGTGAACAAGGAAAAAATTTGTTTCTCTGCCGGTCACTTCTCCTAAAGATGTTCAAACACATGGCTTACGACTGTTAAGCTAAACTTCAATGCGGCCTTAAAACAACAAGGGTAGTGTATTTGAAACTATGTTGTACAGCTTGGAAACTTATTCTAAGATCTTAATTCAGAGTTTTTCTGAGGTGTTGAACTTTGCCATTAGCAAAAAGTATTTTTAGAAAAAAATCCATTGACTGTTTATGAAGCACTGATTTTGCCATATTTCAGGTCTCTGGTTTTTCCACCGCATATGTGCACAGTAGTTATATTTGGTTTTCAATTATTTCTTCTATTTCCATTAATAATGAATCTGTAAAATGGTCATTCGAAAGGGCAGTTGGTTTTGTTTAATGATTGGGTAAATGGACTGTGAAAATATTCTAATTTGATAGTGGAAGTAGGAGGTTTATTATTGTTGTGTTGTTTAAAATATTATGCTAGGGTCTTTCCCTTCCAGATGTACATGTCTTTAATTTCAGCAAAAGCCAATATTTAACTTAATGACAAATGTTATGAAGCTATTAGTTAATGCTCTTTGCTCTTCTTCCTTCAGTTGATGGCATGAAAGTCTAAATATACTTTCACAGTAACCACCCTCCAGTGACTGATTTACAAAGGGCACATCTGGCAAATTGTAAGTCACTCTGAGTTTCTGTGTTGCCTTTTGCCTTGTGACAAACCAGAATTTGCGAATATCCCAGGTATGTGATCACAAGTGTCAGTTTGAAGTTCGTAATGGAAAAAGAATGGGGGGGGGGCAGTATGTCACGGATGTTTCATAGAAAAAAATAATTTAAGTGACATTCTATTAGGCAATGCTTAATTGCTTCCTGCCTAATGTATACCTAGTAATCTGGCTGATTATTGGTTGTTATTTGTTCAGAATTTATTGTATCTTGTTGCCGCATATGCGACTGAGTATATGTTAAAATTTAGACTTCAGTATGTTATCTGCACAATTTTGTGTGCTTTACACCTCTGTAAATATACAAATAAAGAAATCACATATGATGTGTTAAATGTGACCTCCAATCTTGAAACAATTATATTTGGTAGTATGAATATTTGGAAATTATTTGAACATTTTAAATGGATATTGTAAATGGCCAGTACCTTCAATCAAAAACAGCCCTGGTAGAATGAGTGCCTCTTCAACTTGCCCATTAAGAAGAGGAGGTCAGGGGTTAACAAGAATTAAGATAATTTTTCTAATGGCAAGTATTTTTGATAATTTCCTACCTGCCTAATTGCATTTTCAAGAAAAATTGTTGACCGAAAAAAATCTTAGCTATCCAATGGAATGATTGTTTCAAAAGCATTAAATATACTTTATATCTCACCTGATAATGTTGAAATCTAAGTCAAGAGTGAAGAAGTAAAAAATATTTTTGATGCTTCATAAGATTTTTTTGTTGTTTAAAAGATAGTTTACAAGTCTTTTGTCTTTGGTGTGGAGAAATGTCAATTAAATAATAAACTAAAAGAATTCTCAGCACATGGCTTACCTAATGCTTTTTCCATGTCTCAATGAACACAAAAATTGTTCAGCCTGAACTTTTAAAATCTTTGCACTTAAACTTTGAAAGAGTTATTATCTGGGGCATTGTTTTGACAATTATTAGCAAAGTCTGACTCATTTATCTTGACTAATTAATAGCATTTAGGCTATTCCTCTTTCCTAATTGGTTATTGCCAAGTATTGAAGATACAGCAACATATTACAATGGCAAATACTCTCACCGGCTTGTACCCAGGAGCTTGGCCATCATAACCTCACTTCTTCCTCCAATGCATGCATGTTTGAACATCTGGAGTGCATTCTGCATGCCTTGTCCTATCTCCATTTCTTTATCCCTTCTTCACATCCACAGAGCTCCTTCTCCCCCTTCTACAGTGTTTGAGGACACTACAAAGAGATTATTTCAATCCCAGGAACCTGAACAAAAAAGTTCTCCTAAATTCCCAAGGACAGGAAATATGCTGCTTTGGACCATGTATTTGTCTTATGCTGTCTTACAGAATTCTTTTAAATGCACATGCGCACTATGTACACACACACACACACAAACACACACACACATTCAGCTCCTCATTGGCATGTTTGTGGTCGGCTTCCTGACAGCCTCAGAGGGCTGTTTTGTTGTCCTGGCCAAATGTGCTGTTTTCCCTATGTAAATTGTCATCTTTCTAAGCAAACCATTACTTTCTTTTCCTAATTCTGTCTTTAAATAAAAGTTTACCTTCTTTTTCAAACCAAACAGAAGCCATTGCTCTTTAATATCCCCTTCCTCTATGAACACTCTGGGGAGGTGTTTGGGGAGGGACAGAGTGGGATAAAGGGTAAAAGGAGGCCTTTTGAATTTAACCTGCTAAATAAGAAGTACGTCTTTAATTGAATGTTTAGCCCTTTCACAAGGTACACAGTATTTCCACCTGCTAACATGAAATAATTCCTTCTTCTGCATAATAATAACACAAAAATATCTTAGGAATCAGGCAAATTAAAAGCTAGAGCTTTTATCTATTTAGAGTGACTGTTAGAATAAAAACTCATAAGAAATTTTTCTTGCCCAATGTTTATTGTAATGTTAAGGAACTTAGACCTTTGCAATGATCTTTTGCCTGAGAAAATGCGTTTCCTATTCAAGAAGCTATGGCATTCGCACCTTGTAATGGTCTGTCCTATCAGTCATTGCCAAAGAAGGGACTGATGTCAGATACTGACTAGAGGAAGGGAGGCACTGGGCATTTACCAGACTAGATCAAAGGCTCTAAGTCAAAAGCCACTACCTACTTTGTCAGTCATCATTTCCCCCAGCACAATCTACAGCTCCTGGCACAAGTACCTGCTAAATAAGTGATAAACTGGTGACCACCAGACATTTCAGAGAGATCACTTAGAATCAGGTTAATTTCTCCATAAAGAATGGACTCAAAGGCCTTTACAAATGTTTGCCAGCCTGGGACTCTCTAAAGTTCTAAAGTCATTCTTTAGGACTGTCCCACCCACCTACCCGACCCACCGTTTCCAGAGTACATGATGGGGGTTGGACCCAGAAGGAAGCAAAAGGCCTGGGGAGAAACCTGCCCTTTCTTCTGGTGTTTCCAACAGTCAGAAATTATCTAAGCATCATGATATCTTACATATTGTTTGGACACCCCTGTGGATTGACATGGATTGACAGGCAGATCACCCATCTAAGAACCCAGAAAACCTACAAAAGTCTCATCCCCATGCCTGATAAAACTATATTTTTTCACATGCCATTTTCCTCATTGAGGATTTGATAGCTGCAATCTCCTACATGTTTAAAAAATACTCCCATAGCACCATCCTATTTGAGCTTGATGATCAGCCCTCGGAAGTGATCAGAACAAGAACTTTTATTTTATTTTATTTTTACAAATAAGAAGGGTGAGGTTCAGTACAGTGAAAACTGGGGCTGAGCACTCCTGACCTCCCTCTGTGCCATGCACCATTGAATTAGGTCAAGAAAGAGGAAAACAGCGCTGTGTAAGCCCTCTCTGAAACAGACACCCTGCAGAGACAGACATGCAAGGGATATTTACATACAGAGATGATGACCACAGATGAAGCCAAACAGGACAACACAGCAGACCTTTCCCACCAGACCAGGGCTCTAGTTCAGGGTCCGGATCTCTGTGGGTATGGGAAAACACCTTTCCTTTCTGAACTTACAGATGAAGATATCTCTAAAGTATGGAAACTTTTTTTTCACCTCTGAGATGCCATGAATTTAAAACGCTCACAATGAGTACTTCTCAGGAATGAGCAGAACACTTTCATGTTGATGATATGTTTTGTGCTATTGTTGTTCTAGGTGGGGAGCCCAGGTTGTGTAAGGTAAACAGAAGGTGAAATTGAGTCTATTGTAAAGAAAGTAAACTCAGGAAAACCATGCTGGGCATCCCTTTCCAATATTCTCCTCCATCTCCAAAAAATAATCTTCACCATGGAAAGATTTAAATCAATCACTCTTCTGCCTCACCTGATCCCAGTCTCTCTCAGAAGATGATTCTACCTATTTCAGTCCCCCAATCTTTGGCTGTCCAGACCACTGTGGAATCACACTGGATGTGGTCTGGAATATCCCTTGGACCTTCCACGGCATCTGATTTGGTACTAACCCCACCCACCAGCTGTTGTTTTAGATCTTGCTTGATCACTGCCATAAGACCCTTTCCCTGGAGTGTCCCAAAAAGGGTCAAACCATTGCCCCACTGCAGGGGGCACTATTATTAAGTGTGGAATGTGCTGCATTTGCCCTTTCTCAGAACCCAAGCAGGACCCCTTGCCAACAGCAAGGTTGCAAAAGGTATCTCATTTGTGGTGGAAAGGAAGACTAGAAACTGTCTTGGAATACAGCACTACACAGCACTGGTCCTTCCTTTATGTAGGATGTTTATCATGCCATAGTGGGGCCTGTTTGAGGCACCATGGTGGTCACACATCTGATGTTTCCAAGTTTGGGCCAACTTGAGCAAGGTTGACGTGGATCTTGCTTGGGCCATTTTGGTTTGGCTAGAGCCAAGTGCCAGGTATTGTTCTCCCTCTGCCCTCAGCAGAGTCTGTGAAGTGAGGACAGCGTCATTCTCTGACAAACATTCAGTACATTTCCTCGGGTCTCAGGAGGCCTGATATTGAAATGTTTTCCTCCCCATAGTTATATTTTCCTTGGTTGAAAAAGTTTTGTTTTGGAAGTTGCTACCCTGTCGAGGTAATGAGTCAGTTTGGGAGGCCAGTGCAGAGGGGAAAATGAACATCACTGGCAGAGAAGGATGCGGGTGAGAGAAGATGGGAGATTCCGGGTGGGAGAGAAAGGGTCACACCCTCTGCACCCTTCCACCCTTTCAGGAAGCACACGGCCTCTCCTCGCCATTTAGGGGCTTCTTCACTGAGGCCAGGAGCCAGGTTCAGCTGACACCCTAGGACTTGTTCCTGGGAAAAGAAAGCAGGCAGGAAAGGAGCTAATTTATGGGTCACCCTTTGAGTGCCATTTAATCTTCTGCTTTCCACTTTCTGTGAAAGTTGGTAGCATGATCAACCACATCTTTTAGATTGGGAAATTGAGGCACCAGAAAGGAAATTTCCTACCCAACATCACAGAATCAGCAAGTAGCAGAGCTAAGACTAGAATTTCAGTTCATTGTAGAAGTCCAATGCCCATTCTGTTGTGTGGTCTCTCTATAAGACTCACTCTTATCCAAAGAAACAGACCCAACAAGCCTAGGGGCAGGATAAAAAAAGTTAGAGGGATGATTGAAATAACCTGACTTTGGGGAGGAGCAGTCTTATTGGAAGACAGAGAAGAAGAGGTTTATAGATTTGAACCGCCCTTTTTACTTCTCTCCATTCTCAACTCCCCTCAATTTCCCCAGCCCAATGTTTTCTTCATGAGGAGAGAAAAGCCATAGAGATACAACACACACACACACACACAAACACACACAGATTCCCTCACTCACACACACAACACAAACACACACGTCCACACAAGCACAGAGGCACACACATCTGGAGGTAAATCTCAGGATTCAAGGGTTGGCCTCATGCCAGCTCTGAGCCCCATGTAGCCCACTGAGGAGCCCTGGTCTGCAGCACTTTGGGAGGTCAAATCCATGAAAGAGCCTGGTAGTTTAAAAAAGAGAAAGGGAGAATGAAAGAACACCAGCACCTCTCATGATGGGAGGTCAGCAGGAATGAAACCAGGAGAGGGGTGGGGGTGGGGCAAGAGCATGGGGGTAGGGAGCCTGGTGCTGGCAGCTGAATTCCTACCCTGGCCCAGCTCCAAAAGATTAAAATAGAGCTCTTAGAGTGTCCCCTCCACAGACTAGCCTGCCAGGGGCCAGACAATACGTGGGTTTGTGCTCCAGCACAGGCCTCCAGAGAGGTGATGTTTTTACCCGGACAGCTAAAGGCACAGAGGCAGGTCTAAGCAATTCCAAGGCTCCTTTGGCCCACAGTCCCAGAACAGGCCACAGCAGAGGGAGAGCTGCTGGCTGCTAGGACGCATACAGATCTGCTCTTTTCTCTTCTCACCCCAGGGCAGGCTGCTCGACTCACACTTCTTCATTTTATCTACCCCGAAAAACCCAACTGGCAAGGCTACGTGGGACCAGGTCTTAGCAGATTCGTTATACTTTAACTGGAGGAAGGGAAAAAAAAAAAAAGTTCAGCATGCCTGTAAACAGGCAGCTGCAGGGATGGGGCGCGGACAGGGCGTCCCTCAGGATCATCTAAATACTCAGATGAGTACAAACACCTCATTTTCTCTACCCAAGGAACACAGCTTCCCCCAAAGGAAGCCCCACTGGCCCCTTGAGGTTACATCTGCTTCCTTGGAATTCTTGAGGATTTCAGGCGGCTGGCACTCAAGACTAACATCCCAGACCACTTGCTAACACAGAAGAATGAAGACAAGACTGTATTAGCTAAGAGGACAGGCTCTGGAGTTTGTAGACCTGGGGGTCTACTCCTGACTCTGCCACTTAGTCACTTTTGAATGTAAGCAAGTCACTTAACCTTTCTGGAACTCAGGTTCATTATCTCTAATAGCACCTAAGTATACTCTTAAGGGTCAAATGAGAAAAATGCATAGAAAGTGATCAAACCTAGGCCTGCATGTAACTAGCAAATGTTAGCACAAATTAAAAAATAAAAATTTTAAAAATACCTCCTACCAGATCCTCCATAACTAAGGAAAAAATGTAATTCATTCAAACTAGAATAATTTTGATAGTGAGGGTGGATACTAACTAGAGGGGCCCCTAGGACACTGACTCACCAAAGATTACCTGGAGAAACTAGGACATGTAATCCCCTTCTGTGTAATTTTTTGAAGGGTCCCTATTTAACATTCCATCACGGGAATCTCTTTAAAAATAGCCTTCAGTTCAACTCTGTAGCTTCCCATGGGAAGACCCAGCCCTTTTTGGTATACTGTGATATCTTATGAAATTTTAATTTGACATATAATTTTAATATTTACTTTTTAAAAGTATAAGGTCACAGGCAAATGACAAGAAGGTTAAGTGGCAAGTCCTATTACGGACTTACTGCCACCTAAATTTTTTGTTGTCTGTTAATTAGGAAAGGTAGCTGTTATTCAATTTTAATGGAGAAAAAAAAAAGAAAAACCATCCTTCCAGCACACAGCACATTAATAAAAG